AAAAAAAAAAAAAAAAAAAAAAAAAAAAAGACTAAGGAAGAAGAAATTAAAGCTGTCATAGGGATTCCATTCTATTCAGTACATTGGCTAAATTGATACTATCAAACTGTCGAAGATGAGGGAAGACAACATGTAGTATGCAACCTTCAGGGATAATTGGGACAGCTCCTGCTTTGTAAATAAAAGTTTTACTGATATGTTGGCATAACCACTTGTCTAAGGCTGCCTCTACAATGGCAGGACTGAGTAGTTGTGACAGAGACTGCATGGCCTGACAAGCTGAAAATATGTACCATCTGACCCTTAGAAAAAGCTTGCCAACCTGTGATGTAAACCAGGAGAACTTTTATAGCCACTTTGAAGAACACTGTGGCTAAAATCATAGGTACCCATGCTCTTGGATCTGCAATTCCACATCTAGTTATTCATGCTAGAGAAACTCTAACATACAGACATGAAGGAGACAAGCCCAGTAATGCTCACTACATCACTGTTTATGATGTCAAATAATTGGAAACAACTCTGGTGCCCTTGGTAGGAGAATGGAGATATAGTCTGGCTTACTTTAACAATGGGATTCCATTTGCAGTGAGAGCAAATGACTCACAGAACACATGTGCAATATACAAGTAAGGGTAAATCTTGTAAATGATGTTGAATGAGGGAGTTGCAGAAGAATATCTGAAATATAATTCCTTATAATAAAATAGCGAAGAAATTATCTATCCCAATGTGCTACTGAATTAGACCATAGCAGCTTCACAAAACAGAACCCAAAATAGCAGCCTAAACCAGACAGTCTGTCTCTACCTTATGGAGTAGCTAGGAGAAGGTAGTCAGGGACCAGTGGGGTGGCTCTGCTCCAAGATGTTGCCCAGGGATGTGGGCTCTATCTGGCTTGTTGCTCCACCCCTGCCCTCAGCCTCACGGCCCAAGATGGCTTCATATCACCACATCTGTGTTCCAGATTCCACGATGAGAGAAGGGACAGATCTTGCCTTCTAGGGATTGAGTATATTCTTTATTCTAGGTACCCACATACACATCCCTATTATATTAGAAGATGGACTACATGAATATTAAGAGACAAATACTAGGGGCTGGGGATTTAGCTCAGTGGCAAAAGCGCCTGCCTGGCAAGCGCAAGGTCGTGAGTTCGGTTCCCGATACCGGAGAAAAACCAAAATAAATAAATAAATAAATAAATAAAATTAAAAAAAGAGACAAATACTAGTAGTGTTTCCATAGTTGTTTAGGGCTACATCCAATGCAGTACACTGTTAAACGTAATGACAAAATCTGGACAGAGATGATCCCAGGTTGGCAGTGAAGAGGGGAGGAAGGTAGAATTAAGAGGGAACAGAAAGGGAGTACCCTAGCTCTGTGACATCCTATTTTTAAAGGTGATGTTGGTTCCATAGGTATTTATTGCTATTTTCATTAAAATATATTTAAACTTTACATCCTATCTTGTGTGTGATAGTTCACTAAAAATTACATAATCAAAAGCAGGTTATAGACTGTATATCTGATTTCATTCACATAAAAATAAATTAACACAAAGTGAACATTTATCATTTGGCTTTATATTCAATTATTCCCCCCTGCCCCGTCCCAGTACTGGGGATTGAACCCAGGTGTGCAGTACCACTGAACTACATCTCCAGTCCCATTTATTTTGAGACAAGGTCTTCCTAAATTGTCTAAGCTGGTCTTGAACTTCCGATCCTCCTGCCTCAGCCTCTCGAGTAGCTGTGATTACAGGCATGGGCCATCACATCCAGCCCTTAAATCACTCTTTACCCGGGCATATTTTCTTCTTGCTCTCCTGTTTGAGAGTGGGACAGTCTCACCAAGGGACTACCTGGTGCCTGAAGAATGAGCCTCCTCCGACATGAACAGCTGCTGTGCCTGCAAACGTGGCCTTATTTTTCTGATGGCCTCTCTCAGTCGCTTGTAATTCTTCCCATGCACAGTTTCAGCCCACAGTCCACTTACTTGCTTCCTCCAGACGAACCGCTCCCCACCCCCGCCCCGCCCGTCCCAGGCTTCTATGCATTCATTTGTCCTTCAGGCGTCAGCCTAGAAGCCACTCCTTCTTGACACCTTCCCAGATTTCTCTGGCCACACCTGTCTCTCCTCTTGCCCTCTCACTTTTCCTTTGCTCCTTCATTTCAGGGAGTTCTGAGTCTCCTCCCTCTACTTTGGGGGCGGTGTCTTGCCCAGCACCAGCAGTGTGTGGAGCCCCACGACCTCTCTTAGGAGCTATGTGACCTTAGCTGAGTGTAGAAGCCTCGCGTGTCCTCTGTAAAGCTGAGGTGCTAATTTCTCTGCACAGATTGCTTTTAGCCCAGAACCAGCACACCGCCTCCTGCACCCCGGGCACTAGGAACACGTGTGGAAACCGTCCTATGGGCTAAATGCCAATCAGGATCTCTCCAAATCCGCTCCTCTGCGGAAGGCGCGGCACCCGCCTTTCTCCTCCGCCCTTCCAGATTGAGGCCCCACAGAGGAAGACCCCGGTCCTCCCGCGCTCTCCAGGAGCCGGCTTCCGCCGCCTGGCAGGTGCGCCATCACTGGAGCCCGGGTCTAACCTGGCCCCTCCCTGCTTCAGGCTCCGCCCAGAGCCCGACCGTGCCCCCGCCAGGCTCTCGCAGGCTTTCTTCTCATTGGCTTACGTCCCAACAAGCCCCGCCCAGATACCGGCCCGTCCTGGCCCCGCCCAACCAAAGCCTTACACTCTTGCCTCTCATTGGCTCACGTACCACCGAGCCTCGCCCCAGCAGGTAGGCTCCGCCCCGTTGGCCTTTTCCGCAGCTTTTCCTAGGCTTGCTTCTTGCCACGCTGCGCCCCGCCCCCGAAGTCGTCATTTCCGGGTAGGGGAGCCCGCGGAAGGCGGAAGTGTGTGAGTCCGCAGTGGCGAAACGCAGCTGTGGTGTCGCCAGCGTAGCCTCGGGCCCTTGCGGTTCTGGGCTCGGAAGTTCGGAGGCGGTCATCAGAACGAGAAAGGGAGGATGGCTATGAGGCGGTCGCGCGGCCTGGCGGGGTCTGGTGGCTGAGTTGCCCCGCCGCCTGCTCCCGGCCCGCCGCCCGCGCCGGCCCTCAGGATGACTGCGGCCGCCACCTCCAACTGGGGGCTGGTCACGAACGTCGTGAACAGCATAGTGGGGGTCAGCGTGCTCACCATGCCCTTCTGCTTCAAACAGGTGCGTCCGGGCCGCCTTGCCAGGGCCCTGCGGTCGGGAGGCGAGACAGACGACGTCTGCGCGCCTGGCAGTCGGGGGTCTGCGCGCTGCCGGGGACCGCGGGAACTTAGTGCCTGCGAGACCCGCACACAAACCGGAGGGCAGAGTGAGCACAAGGGGGAAACGAGAGGATTCAGTAGGGTTTTATTTCGTCCTATTTTAAAACTCAGCCCCAACTTCACGGAAGCAGCGGGGCTTTGGTTACAAGGTGATTAACAAATTCACCAGCTTGATCACTTGAGAGCTAGCTGTATACCGCAAACATATTGTGCGTATTTCGTCTGTTCTGTACAAATTTCACCCCGACTGGAAAAATCTTACTATGCAAAAAAGTTTGGTTTCATCTCACCATTGAATGCCACGTGAAAGAAAACGGTTGTGTGTCTGCTTGCGACTCCTGTTTAAATAATTCACGGATGAGCAGGCATTGGGAGGCTGATGGAAAGATCGAATTGGGTAACTTCTTCCCTTAAGACTCTTAACCAATGAACGTGTGGCTCCCCCCTGGGGGGAATCGTGTTTGCTATGTGTGTTGCTGTCCCTTGCCGCGTGGCAGGGAGGAGCTGCGCACCGGAGAGGTCCTGGCCGTTGAATGTCAGGTCAAAGACCTGCCAGTTGTATCTGTTGGCGCCAGAAGTAGAAAATGAAGTAAGATGGACTTTTTTTTCCTCCTGGTATTGGGAATTGAACCCAAGGCTTTGGGACTGCTGCACCCACCCCGCTTTATTTTGAGATGGTCTTGCTAAATTGCCCAGGCTAGGCTCAAACTTTTGATTTTCCTACCTCAGGCTCCCAGAGTCCTGGGATCACAGGCATGCATCACCATGCCCAGCTAGATGGACGTTTTGGAACTGAAAATAATAGTATTAGTAGTTTAACTTTAGGTTAACACTTTATATTTTTCGTGTTTTGGATCTTTTGGATAAAAATACAAAAGATAATTTTTGATGTGGGAATTTTTTTTGGTTCCGGGAATCGAACTCAGGACCTTTGATGTGGGAATTTTTGATCCCCACAGGGCCCTGATCTGGCCTGGGTAAGCATGCATGGAAGGTGATGGTGTGGGTCCTGTCTGACATGGTTACATTGTAGGTAGGAGGATGGAACTACAGGTCACTGGTGCCCCTGGGAAAATATCTGTGTTGTGAATCCCAGTGCTGTGTCATTCACCTCTGTATTTCTGGAACACCTGTGTGTCCTGGTGTCCACAGCAACTTGCCTAGTAGCAGAACTGTGTCCTGGGATGTGGAATGATGGCTGGTTCTTCATCTGCAGTCTGATGCTGCCATCTGTGACACAAGTCTTCCAGGTGGTTGGAGCTCTAATTTTGACCCCTATGTAGGGTACAGGTGATTCAGCTGTCCCCATATTTGGAATACCTAGTGGGCCATAGGCCCCTGCCAGAGTACGTAAAGGGGAGGCAGGCAGAGACCTGCCCTGGAGGAGCTTGAAACTTAGCAGGCAGCAAGTGTAGAAACTGTCAGTCTCTGCCCTGAGGGCCTGCCAGCTGCTGCTGTCTCTGGACTCAGCTTCTCCTGCAAGGGAGGCCTCTTGGGTCGGAGCACAGCCTGAGGCCAACAGGCTATTTGGGGATGTGTGTTTAGTGTCTGGCAGTCATGTCATTAAAATTTTTCATTTTTGTTGGTTTACTGTTGGGTTCTTTTTGTTGTTTGTTTCAGTAATTCTTGCACTGTTGAAAATATTTGAGTATTTTAGAAAGTTTAACATATAGAAAACTGTACACACTTTGGTTATACTCTTTTTTTTTTTTGTTTTTTTGGTTTTTTGTTTGAGACAGGGTCTCACTATGTAGCCTAGGCTGGTCTTGAACTCACTATGGAGCCCAGGCTAGTCTGGAACTTGAGGATATCTTTCTGCCTCAGTCTCCTGAGTGCTGGGGTTACAGGCATGTGTCATCTCACCTGGCAGGTGTACTCTTGATGAATTTTCATAAAGTGAGCAAACACATATGACTTGTTCCACATAGAAGAACACCACAGTTGCAGCCCCTTTGCCAATCATTCCAACTTTGGTACTAGAGGTTGGTGTTGCCTGTTTTATTTTTTTTTTAAATTTTTTTGAGACAGGGTTTCCTTTTGTAGTTCAGTCTGGCCTAGAACTCTTGGCAATCCTGCCTCAGCTTCCTGAGTGCTGGATTTACAAGCATGTGGCACCATTCCTAGTCTTTTGTTTGTTTGTTTGTTTTGTTTGAGACAGGGTCTTATTATCTAGTTCATGTTAGCCTTGAACTCACTATGTAGCCCAGGCAGGTGTCAAACTTACGGCAGTCCCCCTGCCTCAGCATCCCAAAATGCTGGGATTACAGGTGCGTGGCACCACGCCCAGCTCATGTTGCCTGTTTTTCAACTGAAGTAGAATTGTAGTATGTGTATACTTCAGCATCTGGCCAGCATCCCATTGAATGGCTCCACCAGAGATTCCTATAACTTTCTGAGGCCTCTGGTGTTTCCTGGTTGGAGCTCTTACGATGTGCAGAGTGCTGTTGTGAATACAGTTGCCCGGGCTTTTGTGAATGTCTGACTAAAGCCCAGGCAACTGTATTCTGTTGGGTAGAATGGCAGAGGCATGGAGTATATGTGTGTTCAGCTCTAGTATATGCTGCCCAGAGTTCCCAGCAGATGTACCAGTGTGTGCTCCTGCCAGTGAGTACCTCGAGGGCCAAATTCTCTGCATGTTTCAAATCCTGCAGAGAATGCAGAGCCATTGTGATGCAAGTTTGGTGATATGGAGTGTCCTCGTGGGTGTAATTGCATGTATATACTGGGGATGGAACACTGGGTGCTCAAGCACTGAGCTATAGCTCCATCTCTTTTTAACATTTTATTTTGATACGCAGTCTTGCTACATTGCCTAGGCTGTCTTGAACTTGGATTTCTCTTGACTCAGCCTCTGGAGTAGCTGGGATTACAAACATGTACAACTGCTTGTGGCTTGTTTGCGTGTATTTTTTTAAGTTGATAGAATTTATTTATTTATTTTTGGCAGTTTTAGATTTACGACCAATGGAGTAGAAAGCACAGGGAGTTCCATTAGACCTCCTCCCCATCCCTTCAGTCTTCCTTGTTAATATCTTGCACTAGTGTAGTGGTGCTAAAGTTTTAAATGTTAGAGTTATTGAGAAGTAATTCACATACAGTGAAATTCAGCAGTTGTCGGGTACTATTCCATGGATTTTGATATATGTGTACAGTCAGTGGCTACCATGGTCAAAAAGTGACCTCTGTCCCTCTGTTATCAGCTGCTTTCCTATCCTGCAGTTTGCCCTTCTGAAGTGTCTTGTAAATGGCATCACAGTTTATTGCCTCTGAGCCTAGCTTCTTTTTCTTAGCATGGTGCATTTGAGAAGCATCCATGTCCATGCGGAGTTGGAGGTTTCCTTTTTACTGCTAAGTAATACTCCTTTGTACAGATGGACCATGCTTTGTCCAGGCACCTGCTGAAGGCCATTCAATTGCTGTTCAGCTTTTGGATTATGGTTAAACCTGCTGTAAGTACAGGTTTGTGCATGGCCATGTTTCATTTCTCTGGAGGAATACCTAAGAGTGCTTGTAGAGTCACATGGTAAGCATCTGTTTAACTTACAAGAAAGGTACACATGTCATTTCTAATCTCTTACTTCCAGAAGGTGTTTCCCATGTACAGGTGACCCAGATGGCCTCAAGGCGGTGTACATGGGGTATATGCAGGAGTGGGAGCTAGCTTTAGCAACACCCAGCTGCCTAGCAAGACTTGAGGAAGGGGTGGAGGTGTCCCTGGTGCTCTTTGGGATCCACACACAAGGTTCCTGCTACTGCTGCAGAGAAACAACTCTCTCTGCGCTTAGAAGGGTTGTCCATAGGAGCAGACAGCAGTGGAGTGGGGATTCTGGTACATACAGACGTGGACAGAGGAGGCTTGCATGAGCCCCAGCACTGTTGATATGTGAGGTGGAGATGCAAGGACTGTCTAGTTTTATGAACATACTTTCTCTGTCCTCCCTCCAGTGTGGCATCATCCTGGGCGCCCTGCTCTTGGTCTTCTGCTCCTGGATGACGCACCAGTCATGCATGTTCCTGGTAAAGTCTGCCAGCCTGAGCAAACGGAGGACCTATGCTGGCCTGGGTGAGAACTGGTTTTCAGAGAGCTTGGGTGCTAGGCTCTATTAGATGCCTTCTCAAGAAGAGGGATGCCCTAGTTCTCAGGTCTTGGGGACTTATTCTTCTTGTCTAGTTATTTTTCTTTTACTTTATTCTTAATGAGGTTCTTAGATGGTAGTATTTTTTCTTATTTTAAAATTTAATGCAATTAAAAAAAACTGCTTCATAATTGAAGTGATGGAGAAGAGTATGACGCATCCCTCCACCTCTTGAGCAGATACACACATAGTCTCCCCCTCCAGGTCTGCCACAGACAGCTGTACTCATTGCTCTCTTGGTGGCTTGTTGGCTGTGTAAGTCTCCAGGTACTAGGAGGCATTCTATGGAGTTGGCAAGAGGTATCCTTCTGAACTTCCCACCTGGAATTTCCAAGAATAGATGTAGTCTGGTCAAGCTCATGCTATATTAAATAACTCATCTCCCAGAAGGCCTGGTCTCCCTCCTGGTATTGTTGAATTACAACTTTGTTTCCTTTAGTTCAGCCAAAAGGAGCTGGTCATAGTAATTTGGAATCTTTTCTAGGTAGTTTGCTTCAAGGACACCATACTTCTTGGGCTGGTGTGTGAAGCCTAATTTTCTCTTCCTGTCTTGGCCCAGGCTCTGAGTCTTCCAGCTCTGCAGCTCATACTGGGAACATTTGACGTGGGTGTTGAAATGCCACTTTCCTGTTCACAGGGCTTGGTTTGAGGGTTTTTGGTGAACATTCCTGGCCTGCAGTGAAGCTCATGATTCTCTAGCCAGTGTATGGCCAAGATGCGGGGCCCCACCTGCAGCAGGCTGACTTACCCTCTCATGGATGAGGGAAGGTGTGTGAGGAAATGGGCCACAGAATTCCAGGGCCAGATAAAATAGACATCTCTGGAGATGCGTACGAGGGCTTCTGCAGCTCAGCTTCTTCCTTCCTGCTAGTCTGCTGTGTGCTGGCACCAGGACACTGGCATTCATTCCTGGCTTCAGAACCAAGGAATGCCTTCCTTTTTTTCTGCTCTGAGGGGAGTGGTGCTGTCAGTCTTAGTGCTGGCACATGAGGAAGTGAGGTTTGTCAGTTAACTTGACCCAGACTGAGGTGATCTAATTCTACTAGGGATGGTGTGCCCACTAGAACCCAGAGCGAGGTGCTTGGGTGAGCCCCTCTCCTGGTTTCCAGAGCCATAGGTTAGGTTGACCCTTTCCCTGTTGAGGTCTCTGTCTAGGTTTTGTAGCAGAGGCTACAACTCAAATATGCACTGTAGCCTGAAAGAGGCTTTGGGACCCTCTGCTGGAGAGGCTGTGGTTTTTGATTCTGATAGCAGGCTGGCTGATTGTTCTTCGAAAGTGCTTGAGAAGCCAAACCAAGTCCTTGAGAAGTCAAACCGGTTTGGCTAGATGTGAAAGACTGAAAGAAAGTTGCCTGATGGACACCCCTGTGCACTGGCTGCTGGAGCTCCAACTTTCACATTCAGAAACAAAAGATTCCTGAATACCAGTGGTCTCAGGTTGTGCATTTGATCCCAAACAAGATGGCTCGCATGTGCTGTCTCCCAGATGGAGCCTCTACACCACCATCTGCTTAGCACCAGCTTCCCATTGTCCTCAGAGGTGGGTAGACCCATTGTATGAGGGCCACCTGGGACAGCAGCTGGAGACAGGGAGAAGAGGATCTCCTGGTGCTGTTCCTATGGAGGGGTGGCCCCTCTGGCAGTGTGGTCCTCCTGTGGCTTGATGCAGACACCCTCTGGGAGGGCCTTCACCTCTTCCTCTGTCCTTCCCCAAGTGAGAACCTCACAGGCTTGCACAATAGCCTCACAGTGAGGCCTGAACACAGATGCCCTTGCTGTGCCTGGCTTGCGTTTGCAGATGCAGGGAATGCCTTATTGGCCAAGTCAGGGGCATTAGGCAGCTGTCTGGTGAGATGGGCAGATGGCCTTCATCTGGACCTAGAGACTAGAAGAAGGAATGGGAAATCCAGGTGCTGCAGATGTGTCTCCAAGTAGCCTGTTCACCTGTGCATACTGCATGGGAGAGTTGGCAGTATTCTGATAGAAGTCTGCTACCCTTAGACACAGGTTTGTGTTCTGACGTTTGACAGTGTGGCAGACTGAGGAAGTGATTTCTTTACCCTGACATAGACCACTGCTTCAGGCATTGGGGATGATTTTTGCTGGTGTGGAGAGTCACCCATGTGGGGGTTTTGTTGGGATTGTGCAGGTTTGTTTTGTTTGCTTCTTCTGTCCTGGTTGTTCTGTGGTTTTTGCCTCTTCCCTATCCCTCTCCTGGTGGCCTTCTATAAACTTTGTTTCAGTTCAGAAGATACACAGACATGTCAGGGTGAACTGCTTAGGATACCACCACATCCCTGCAACCCTCCAGTGTTCTGAGCCCTTAGCCTCACCTTGATTTATGACCTGAGTCCCAAGTGTATGGTGTGTGGTCTGGGCTGGAAGCAGCAATCCCAGCTACAGGAAGGTTTTGGTAACAACCAGGCCTCTGCAGAGCAGGCGTTGCTGGTGTGTGTCCTCTGGGTCACCTGGGTTTCACATCCCTGGTCATTGTGTTTCCTGCACCTCCTGAGCCTGGGCGGTCCCTGCATGGCCATAGTGTGGAGTGGATTTCTTCTCTGCCTGTCCTTGGGGGTGACCTGTGCACATGCTATTGGCTTAGCATACAGGTTGGATATGTTGCCACTTCATCTGGCAACTGTTTATTTATGCACTTGCAGTGTGCTGATAGGACTGTGCCCCATGGAGACCTCAGGACTGCGCCTCCTCTGTCTGCAGGAGCAGTTACTTTGGTCAATGCTCCCCCTCCCTGCCTTTTAGGTGTCTCCCCATCTTGATCAGCACACCTCACCTTAAGCAGTGCCACCCCTTCTCTTGAAGCAACTGGTTGTTGCAAGCAAGTGCAGTGGGAGTCAGCTCTGCCTGTAGCCCTGGGGAGGAGCTGGCCCCATTTCTCAGACTCAGAGAATGCAAGGGCAGGGCAAATAGAAAGCCTGGGGGCCTTGGTGAGGCCAGAGCCACTGGCCTCTGCATATATGGCCTGCCTTCCTGTGTGCCCTGCCCTGGATAGAGAACAAAAAGAAACGTGGGCAAGGGCATGTCTGTCCACACTGAGGACACTCCAGAGGGTGTGGAGTGGCCTAGGGGAAGAGAAGAGGAAAGGGGGAGGCCACAGTGACAGGGCCTGGTCTTAGCACAGCTGCCACTTAGGATGTTCTGGGAGCCTGAGGAGAGAGCTGCTTCCCACCTGCCCTGACTTCCTGATCGTCTTCCACTTTCCGGTGCCTGGGATGTAAACGTATCCTGGGACTTTTCAGGCAGGGCACTCCAGGTCTGGAGCATGCTATAGACTGTTGCTTCTTTTTGGAGAGTAAGAAGGAATGGAAAGTGGTAGGCACTCAAGATTCCACGTGTGGGGCTGGAATACTGTGTTGTGCTGGGCATGATGGTACCCACATTTGAATGCCTCAGTGGTAACAGCATGGTCTCTGGCTAGACCCTCTGGAGTTCTTAGTTTTTGAAATTCCAATTAAGCTCTTGATCCACACTCAGGATTTCGTAAAGGGACCCTGCTTGGGTTTCAGTTTGTTAGATGTACTTGATGGGCACCCGGCTCCTTGACTAGTGATCCAAGTCCAGGAAAGGCAGTATGACCTCTGGAGGCTGAAGGCCCTCAGGCCCCTGACACCTGGGCCTCTTTCTTAGTAAGTTGGAAGTAACAGGGAGTGTATGTGGATTGTTCTTACCCAGCTGGCTGTGTTTCTTGCCTTACACCCCCTTGGAGGGCCTCTGGCCTTGTGCAAAGGGAAGAAACAAGGGCCAGGGAGTTGGGGCTCCCAATGAGCCTGGAGCTACCCTGTCACAGGTACTCCTTTTGGGCTGTTCCTTGGAGACCAGAACTTTCTTTCGTGCTCATTAGACTGGACTAAGGAAATGCTGAGTGGCCGGATCACCCTTAAGGTCCTGGGAGGGACTTCAGCAAGGCAGTATTTAATTTCTCATTTACAAGAGATACTTCTGTGTCCAGGAAGGGAAGACAGAGGCTCCTTTTGTGAAAGGACACCCTGTGCTGTGGCAACACATGCTGCTCATCAGCACGGCTCTAGGTGTCCTCCCTGGGTATTGGGGAGCACCAGAGCTGCTGTCCCCAACTCCCTCCCCATCTGCCATTCTTGCCAGGATTCTATTTTCTTCTGTAAATTATGCCCACCGAAGCCAGGGCTGTAGCTCAGTGGTATAGCACCTGCCTGGCAAGCACAAGGCTTGGAGTTCGATTCCTGATACCAAAAAAGAAAAAGAAAAAAAGAGACCCCCCAAAAAAGTCATGCCCAAAGGGTGAATTAAAAGCCCCTACAGTGTCCCTGTGGTGCAGGCTGCAAAGATGAGGCATCTGGGGTGGGACCTATGGGGTGCCTCTGAGCTCTGGGGGCCCAAACCCCTCAGTGCCAGGACCCTGATTGGGGCCAGTTTGGCTGCGTGGCACTGTTCTAGAAAGGTCTCATGATCATCATTGTGGGGAACTGCCATTTTACAGGAACCCCCTCATCCCAGTATCATGTGAAAAGAACAATCTGCCTTTGTTTTTTTTTTTTTTTTTGGTCTTTTCTTCTGGTACCAGGAATCAAACTCATGACCTTGCGCTTGCCAGGCAGGTGCTTTGCCGCTGAGCTAAATCCCCAGCCCCAACAATCTGCCTTGTGTCTCCCTTGTTTTGTCCTTTGTCACACTAGTTTGGATTGTGGATGGTAAACCTGAAAATGCATGAGGAGCAGAATTTAGAAGTATCCTCCAGTGCCACATGAGCTCTGGGCCAATGGCTCTTTGTCAGGTTTCCCTTTGCAGCTGTACTCAGTACTTTTTTTGCTGATGTGCTGCTCGCACTGTAGGACTGAGCGCCTGTTCTCTTTCCTTTGCACTAGCATTCCACGCCTATGGGAAAGCCGGGAAGATGCTGGTAGAGACCAGGTAAGGGCTGCAGCCTGTTCCTCTACCCCTGCAGCTGCAGAGGAATGGGAGCAGTTAGAAAATGTTAGGAAATGAGTAACAAGTTTCATCCTGGATTGATTTATAACTTCTACTATGTTTCTGAAGAGTTACCTACAAAATAGTTGAAAGTCCAGTTTTATTGTACTCTTAAAATGATTGTTGTCAAGGTTTAAAGCTTTATTTAAGTATTACCAAGTAGTACTTAAAAATGGACAACCTGGGGAACATAGAAAAATTGCTGTCCTTCCATTGTAGTTAATCTCTTAATGCTGTTCCTTAAACTGTACCCCCAATACTACTGTATAAAATTGGCATTAAACTGAAAATGCTACATTTTTCAACTGTTGGAGTAAAATTTTATCAAATGAAAAATAGCTAGGAAATTATACAGTTAGGCTTCTAAGTGAGCGAATCATAAACTTCAAAGAAAACCTTTTTTGGAAGCAGTTGATTTTAACTTGGTTAATGTCATGATGCATTTTTGTTGTACCTGAAAGAACTTTGAGAACCTCCCATGGAGAGAAAACTACAATACCGTACAGCCAAGAGTTCAGTGTTGTTCAGTATTCACTCCAAGCCCAGTAGAGTGCACTACAAAACATGCCCGGGTCCTGTGGCTGGGAAGTCTAAGATCGCAGCTCTCATGCAGTCAGGCTATGGGCATTCATGTACAGTCCAGGGACAGGGCCTGGCCTTTGGTGATGTTGGGCCTGTAGAGGCCTGGGCCCCAATTCTGTGCATGGGTCCAGGTTTGATCATGACAGGGCTGCACACTCTTCCAAAAATACTGTTTTAAATTCAGTTGCCTTCCTTACAGCATGATTGGGCTGATGCTGGGAACCTGCATTGCTTTCTATGTTGTGATTGGTGACCTGGGGTCCAACTTCTTTGCCCGGCTCTTTGGGTTTCAGGTAAGGACTTCATTGTGAGGGGGCTTGGTCTGAGTGCTGTTGTTGCTACTCTGACAGTGGTGTCACTCTGTCAGTTGATTGAAGCTGGTGCACTTGGCTGGGAGAGCTTCCCTGTGCCCTGCTGTCTGCACAGGTCCCGTGCTCTGGAGTTTAGGGGCTGTGCTAGGGTGTCATCGGTGAAAGATACTAAGAGAGGGAAGGAGAGTAGGTTGGTCCCAGCTGGCTAGTACTGCCCATTAAGGGGCAGAAATGGCCAGGCTCTCATTCAGTCTTGGCTATCAGCCATAGCAGCTGTGCTGGGAGCTTGGTCTTCACTCTGGGTGTAAGGGCATTGTGAGCAGGCCTGGTGGACTTGTGCTCCATGAAGCCTCAGGGACAATTGTGTGGCCCTGCCCCTAAGTGGTTGCACCTGTGATCTGGGCCCTGGGTACCTTTTCTGGGTGGTAAGCTCCTGGGAGCAGATCTGGTTACGGGGGAGAGGGAGGGTCACAGCGTTGGAGGGCTTCTGTATGATGGGCCTTTTATATTTGGACACCAGCACTGACTGGGTCAGGTAGAAAACCAAAGGTAGAAAAGGATTTCAGTTTACAGAGACCATAGCAGCAGAGGTAGGGTAGAATGTGCCTGATTTTCACACTGTCAGGGAGCAGTGGGATCAGTGAGTGTCCTATGAGTGTGGCCCTGGCCTGTGTTTTGAACTTCTCTTCTTGACTTTGTCCATTTTACATACTTCACTGTGGACTGAGCAGAATTTTGGGTCTGTCCTGTCCAGAGAACACTTGGGACATTTCCTGCACCTATTATCTTGTGCCCTGAGGTCAGACACCTGACCTTTGGTTCTGTGGCACTTGAGAGTGCTGGCTGCCTTTGGCTGCCTCTGCTGTGTGCAGAGCCTTTCTGTCCTTGTTCCTTGCTGATATGTTGAGAGTGCCCTTCGTGAGATGTTCCCATGCTGAGAAGTGTGGATTTGGAATAGACCTGTAGGTATTTGGAACTGGGAGAGAGAGCCAAGAGATGTGCTTGAAGGGTCTTGGTAGAGCTTTCATCACCTCTGGCCAGTGCCATCAGCTGGGAATTGTGGGTTTTTGTGTTTGTGGTTTTTTTTTTTTAAGACAGAGTCTCACTACATAGCTCAGGCTGGCCTCAAACTCATTGTGTAGTCCAGGTTGGCCTCAAACTCAAGGCCATCTTCCTGCCTCAGCCTTCTGAGTGCTGGAGCTACAGGTGTGTGTCACCACACCCAGCCAGGAACTAGAAATTGGATGTACTGGCTTCAGCCAAATTAGGTGTTAGGTGTCTTTAGACCTTTGTGTGTTTTGCTATAACAAATGCCAGTCTAGGGTTTTGTGATTAATTTTCTGGACCAGAATTTTAAGACTCCCATCTTTGAAGCAGGGTCAGCTTTGATTTACTAGAGAAGCACCTTACACTAGGCTCCTTTTGAGTCCCGGCCTGTCCCTATCGGTGCTGGGCATACAGGGAGGGCCCAGGGCAGCGCAGGCTCCCTATTCCCGCTCCTTCTTTCCTGGTGTGAAAGGGAACAGCTGACCATTTTTGCTTTGGCTGGCCTCATACTGGGGCTGGACTGGACCCTGCAGAGTCAAAAGTAGTCAGTGTCCTGAGAACAGAGGCCTCCAGGACAGCTTTAGCAGTGAGTATGTTCACCTCCAGCGTTCTGCTCTTGATGCCATTGGCCCACAGCGCCTCATGGTGCTCCTTGTCCAGCGTGGCCACACAAATTAGCCCCACTGGTGAATGAACTCAGTGCAGCAGATCTCTGAGGACTCTTCCCTTCCAGGTGAGTGGTACCTTCCGTGTGTTCCTGCTCTTTGGGGTGTCCCTGTGCATTGTGCTCCCGCTCAGTCTGCAGAGGAACATGATGGCCTCCATCCAGTCCTTCAGTGCCATGGCCCTCATCTTCTACACCGTCTTCATGCTTGTGGTGAGCCCCATGCACTCGGTAGAAGGGGTCAATCACAGGTGGTCCATGCATGGGTCTAGCTTAGCTTCTAGCTACCTTTTGGGAATGACAGAAAAGTGCTCTGCACCTGGGAAGTGTGCTTGAACCGATGGAATGTGCTGTGAAGCTCCACGTGTGTCCTGGCCAGTAAGCACTCTGGGACAGGTACAGTCAGACAGCAGAAGACACAAGGGATTCAGGATAGGAGGGGCTCTGAGACCAACTTCATTGTATCCAGGCTCTGGGAAATACAGGTTTAGTGTCTGTGCATTTTGTAGAAAGACCTTCCTGTAGGATTTGTGACCAAGAGCATGATATCAGTGTTTTGTTACAGGTGGCAAGTTGTCATTTTTCTAAATGAGGGTTGGTAGTGGGATAGGCTAGAAGATAAAGTGCAGAGTTGACAGAGGACATGGGAACTTCACAGAGAGGGCCTTGGGGCTCTGGCTGCCTTGACCTAGTCAGTCCTGCTACGCCTGAGGCCCTGGACCCATCCACACAATGTCAAGGCCAGAGATGACCCTTCTTGGGGTCATCTTTGTAGGAGGCCTGCATTGGAGTAGGCTGTGGGTCACCAGCATTTTTCTACTCTCTTGACGGACCAGCCTGGTGACAGTTTCTTACTCTCAGATAAATGCATCCTCAGTAGGTTGAGCTCTTAAAAGATGTCTGTGACATAGTCCAGGACCAGGAAAGGGCCAGACCGATTGAGGGCATCCTCCTCTCTGACTTGCCACCCACTGGGGCTGGGTCCAAAGTGAGCTCTTGCTTCTGTCTGTGCTGAGTAGTCCCACACAGCAAGAGAGTGTGGTGTGTGCAGGAAATCTTCTGGACCTGGGTGGACCCCATGCCTGCGGCATGGACTGGGGTGTTCCTGAGTCACAGGCAGGGAACCCTCAAAGGTGTGGTGACCGCTCACCCCTCCAGGTAGCCCGGGCTGTGTTTGCAGGGGTCAGCCAGTGGCACTGTGGGCTGAAGAGTTGAGGGTCTCCTGACCTGTTCCCAGCATGGCTCCTGGCAGGCCCAGTACGGCTGCCTCCTGACCTATGCCCTGCTCTCTCCTTGGTGCAGATTGTGCTATCCTCCCTCAAGCATGGCCTCTTTGGTGGGCAGTGGCTGAAGCAGGTCAGCTATGTGCGCTGGGAGGGCGTCTTCCGTTGCATTCCCATCTTCGGCATGTCCTTCGCCTGCCAATCGTAAGTACTGCTGCAGTGGGGGCTGGGCGTTGGGGAGGGGATGTGGAGACAGATGGTCTGTTTTTCTGGGTTTTCCCTCTGTTTCTTTAATCACTTGTTTCTGGCTGCTGAGGAGCAGTGTCCTATTCCAGTGTGACCTGTACTCTCTGGGCTGAGGTAGGGAGTTCTATGTGAACTAGAGAGAAACTGCGGCTGGGTTCGCTGGCAGGAACACCTTGTTTGCCAGATCTTGTGAGAGGAGAGTTGGCTGTGGGTGTGCAGAGTCCCAAGTGTTTTGCCAGAATTTAGCTGTTCTGCGAATATTTGAAAGGAAATTGCACAAACATTGACTTTGGGCTGCTGCTGGGATGTCTCCGAAGCCTGTGTGTGCGCGGGCGGGCAGCGGGTGAGCTCCCTGGCACTTGGGGCTCTGTGAATGCAGAGCAGCCTGCTCCATGATCCTAGCAGCAGTACCTACTCCACCAGGGTGGCAGGAGCTAGTGATTCATGCCAGGGTGGGAACGGTAACCAGCTGAAAAGAAAGGTGTAAATCCCGCATGGACCGAAAAAGACCATCAACGTGAGGGGGGGCCTGGCAGAGTGGCCCCCCCCATAGTGTCGGTGGTCATGTATTGTGCCAATTGTAAACTGATGTGACATAAAATTTGCTCACACTGCTGTGTTTACACCCACATATGAGATCCAAATCGTCATTTCCCACTTACCGTCTCTTTTGGCAGCTCTGTTTCCACCAGAACACGCTCCAGCCTTGCTGTTTAATGTCCCCATTATCATCAGTGACAGAAGTTACATTCTTGTGCTGTGTACCTACTTACCAGTTGTCCTTTCTGTCTGTGTGTTTGTGTTTTAAAAAATAAGCCTGTGGGTCGAGCCTCCAGTGGTGGCCATGTAGCAGCCATCGCACATCTGTTGGATTTGATTCTTAGGACAAATTACAAGTTTCTGGAGGGCGGGAGCACACAGCTCGCTGAGTGCTGGCTTCTTCCTCCTCTCAGGAGAGCACTAGGGCTGCAGACTTGCCTGCTTCACCCGTGCCGGCCATGCAAATGTTTGCCACGTGCACAGCAAAGGGCTTGTCCTCCAATTGCAGCCTGCATCAGATGGCCTGTCCCACTGGGGCGACAGCCATCCTCCCGCCTTGTGACTGGGGTGGTTGTTGCCATCACTGCCCTTCTGGTCACACTTTCTAGTAATGAATCGGGGTTATAGAACTGCCATTCTGAGCCCAGAGAAGCAACCGAGGTGGTAACTGAGCATATGAGGTTCAGACGGGGCAGGCTCCATCTGGAGACCTCGGTCCCATTCCAAGCAGTGGGGGTCAATGTGTGGTACCCCAAGAGCTGCATCTAGTCACATAGGCTGCCCCATAAAGTGGGCAGTGTGGGGATGCCATTGGGTGTGGGTGATGCTCATGGTTGCAGCACCCTCCCAAGTGGCGTAGGGAGATGCTGCATCGCTAGCCAGGGGGTCTTGTGGCTCCACCTTTTCTCTAGGGTACAATCCGGGGGATCACTGGAGCACACAGTCAGGATTGGAGGGGAGCCCCCTGTGCCCAGACATGGCCTTCCTGATAGCCACCACAGCTTTCTGGACAGTGACTCTCATAGGCCTGTGTTTCCTGGGGGGCAGGCACATGCTCTGCAACTCTGGTGTGGACCCCTTCAAGCTGGGCTTCCTGGCACAAACTCAGCTTGGCCAAGGCCTGGTCAGTGTGGGGAAGTTGGTGCTGCAACACAGTCTTCTTCAGGGTGCCAGGCTGGTGCTCAGGGTGACTCCTGGTGACTCCTCTTTGGTTTCTCTGCTGTGTCCCCAGCTTTGCCTGTTCCCTCATAGCCTGACAGCTGTGGTGACCCCCTATGCTGGGAGTAGCCTGAGAGAAAGTGTGCCATGAGCCTGGGGTGAACAGGGATGATGCTGTCCCACAAGGTCTTATCTTCTCTTTGTTTTTCTTTCACTTTTTAAAGCCATCTGTTGGCTGCAAAGTCCCTTTATCCTGACCCCTCCCCATTCCCTGCACTGTCCTCTTCTCTGTCCCCTGAACCCAGCCTGGAAGGCCACAGCTACCAGGGACTACTGGAGGGTGGCCACCAGGCTCCCGCCCCCTCTGGTCTCGTTCTGCAACCTTTTATTCTTGCCTGAACTGCAGAGCCGTTCCCTCCTTCCCATGTCCCACCCCTCACAGGTGCCCAGGTCCTGCTTCTTTCCTCAGCTGTCACCCTTATCTTAAGACAAGCTGTGTGATGAGAGCCTGGTGGGGCTTTCATTTCTCTGCTCAGCTGGTGACTGTGGCCCCTCCTAACCACCTAGCAGCACTGCTGTACTGGCACTGGGCCTGGGACAGAAGCCAGTTCTCTCATCCACAGGCACAGGCTAGAGGGTGCAAGTTGGGAAACATGCCTGGCTCTCTCTGTGTCTGTGCCCGACTCTGCTTGCTCCTGTGCTGAGGTGCAGCACCAGGTCAGGCAGTGGCTGGCCAGGGCTGTTTATTTAACTTCTTCCTTGACTGCTGGGAGTGCAGCATGTTCCCCACAATACTGCTGCAGTCTCAGCGCTGCACTTCTTATGTCAGTCATGCAGTGACTCCTGGCCAGTCAGCCTCTGGTTCTGTAGCACTTGTAAGATGTCTGTGTAGGGTTGTGTTCTGGGGGTTGCTTTGGGGTGCTCACAGTGCTGCCATCTGTAGTGTCATGAAGCCTGCCAGCTTTGGCGCCGTGAGTCATGGTGCGTGGTAGATGTCACGTGAAGGAAGAGTGTGGGCTGGCTGGGTGGAAGGAGAGGTCTCGGAAACTGCGATGCAGTAGGCTAGTGGGGCTCCCTGGAGTCTGCTTTGTGAATTGCTTGTCTTTACACAGCCAGGTCCTGCCTACCTATGACAGCCTGGATGAGCCATCCGTGAAGGCCATGAGTTCCATATTTGCCTCCTCCCTCAATGTGGTTACTACCTTCTACGTCACGGTAGGACCCCTTCCGTGCTCTTTGCTGTCCCGGGTTCTGTCTGCACAGGTGCCGTCTCCTTCTCCTTGTCACCTCAGTGTCTGGGGCACATTGCATGTACAGTGGCAGGGTGGCCCTGCCCCTCCACCCCAGTCATCCAGAGCCTGACCTGGGAACCACCTTCCTCTGGGCTGTGTTGGGGTCTTCTGTCTGAGGAGCGCAGGGCACTGTTAGGATTTTGATAGATTTTTTTCTTGCAGTTCTCTTAATGCTCCTATTTGTTGTCTTAAGTAAGATGGTGAAAATACTGGAGTCACAGCTTGTTTTCTTACTTCTGTGGCCTTAGCACTCTTGTAGGTTATTGTGCATGGCCCCTGGAGAGTGTTGTCCACATCTGTCTTCTACCAGGACTGTACCTTATGCCATGTTCCTTAGTTGAGTTTTGAAACTACTAAGAGTAGCCTCTCTGAAGAGCTTGCAGGGGATCATTCTGGCACCTTCCTTTCTGATAGGCAGCTCCGTTTCTTATCTGTGGTCCTTTTGAAAAGTTATATTGGACCCTTCCCTCATTTGTGGCCTTTTTCCTCCTGGTTATCAAGAGACAGGTTTATGTTAATGTGGAGTTGAGTGGCATTTTTGCCCTCTGAGACTGTCTCTTGCTCCAGCTTCCTTGGGAAGGGGCTTGCAGGCCATTCTGGGGGTACGCCTTTTCCCCCACTGTGTACCATGCTCACCACATTGCTCTTTTTCCTCCTCCTGCAGGTGGGGTTTTGTGGTTACGTCAGCTTCACTGAGGCCACAGCAGGCAATGTATTGATGCACTTCCCCTCCAACCTGGTGACAGAGATGATCCGTGTGGGCTTCATGATGTCGGTGGCCGTGGGCTTCCCCATGATGATCCTGCCCTGTAGGCAGGCCTTGAACACACTGCTTTTCGAGCAGCAGGTAGAATTCTCGAGGCATCCTGGGAATGGGGGTGAGGGGGTTCTCTCTTTTCCTGGGTAGCAGTAACAAGAGCTTTTCCTGATTAAAGATAAGCAAAATTCAATTGAAATAAACTCTCCCCATAGAGTTTTGCGTTTTTAAAAAATTTTTTTGTGCCTGGGATGGGACCCATGGTTTTGTACATGCTGTCACTGAACTACATGCCCCTAATAGGAAAATTTTAAACTAGCTTTGGAGAAAAGGGCACCAAAGACAGGCCTTCTGGGGTCGTGTTGGTGTGCACGGAGCTTAGACTTGTCGCCATGACTTCCTAGCATTGATGCTGTTGTCCCCCCAACTCAGAAATAATAGGAAATGGAGGTTTGCTTTAGAGAAATCCTGGGCAGGCCTCAATGATGGGATGGGGCACATGGGCACTGGATTGCTTGGCTAGTGCTAGTAAATACAGGAGTTCTGGGATGGCCTTGTTGAATTGTGGTGTTTGTTTTTTTTTTTTTTTTAAACTTTTGAAATTTTTTAAACTTTTTAAAAATTTTTTTTAACTTTGAAAATCTTAATAATTTAACCAAAGATTTTTGAAGCATAGCTGCTTTGCAAGAAGTTTTTTAATACAGGGGTTGAAACCAAAAGGCTGCCTGTGTTCTTTGTCTCTTACTGAGTTAACCACCAAAGGTGCACTTGTGCTGCCATGTGCCCTGGTAGTGGAGAACAAGCCCTTTTGGAGCCATCAGGGGAACCCTGATTGCTGTTCAGGGTACAGTCACCTTCTGAGCTGAGCTAGGTGACCTGTGCCAGCTCGTGGCTTTTCTCTTGGTGACTTCTTCTGCTCAAGGCCTGAAGTCTTTCAGCCTAGTTTTTCTCTTCAGCAGGAACTTCTGGTAGCCAGGGACACGAAGTTATTTCAACTGCTTGTAGCATGGGGGATTTAGTGGTCTTTTAGAGTCCAGCAATAGATTCCAGTCTGCTTCCACTAGTGTTCAAGCACCTGGATGCCAAAGGGAGCAGGTTTTAGGACTTTTTCCCTCGGGAGAAGGGGCAAGACCAGCTCATCTGGCTGTGGGCCCGTCCCTGGCTTACCTTGCTTCACCTTCACTTGTGGTTGCTGGATTCTGTCTCTCACTGGTGCAAATGTGCACTTTGTATTGGAACAGCACTGGTACTGTTGCATATAATACATTTTTGTAAAGCTAACCAAAAATGGCATGAGAGGATGTATGGAGTCAGAACATTTGACTGCACGCTTCCCTGATGTGGAGTGTACAGAGACACTGCCACTCCTCTCGCTTCCGCTTCCAGTCTTCAGTGGTTATACCTCTGTGCCTGTGGAAACCTGCAGTACCTCTGGTTGCTGCTCTTTCCCTGTGGGAGCGGGGCACTGCTTTCTGGCTTTCCCTGTGACCTCCCTGGAGAGCTTTTTCATGATTGTCTCTGTGTCTGTGGTTCCCCTGCTTCCCTCTAAACTGTCATTCAAAGTCTATAGAGATTCTGGCTCCAGCTCCCTTGGTCCACCTGGTATAAAAGTTTATTCTAAAAATTGGGGATTTCAGAATTCTAGGTCTGGAAGATTCTGTGTTTTTTTTCTAACCTAGGGATGATTGTCATGGTCATCCTGCCCGTGTGTTAACGCCTGTGGTTGTTATCATAGCCTGACAAGGAGCTGCTTCTGTTGGTAAAGGGGAAATGAAGGCACTGAGCTAGTGAATGGAGAGCCAGGTCCTGAGCCAGCCATCCAGGGCTCTAGTGCAGGTGGAGTCTGAGGCCAGTGCCTCTGCCTGTGCAACTCCACCCCATGTCAGCCTTCCTGTGTCCCTCTGGAGGGTGTGAGCGGGGGTATGTGGCTGTGCCACATCATACCCTCCTTCTCTTTCTTTCTCGACTTTGAAGCTGGTAACTCCTCGTCATGTGCTGGAGTTGATGCTGCCAGGTGTGCATGGGCACACAAATAGGAGGGGCTTCTTCCCGAGGTCTGAAACCCACAGAATGGGAGAAACCAAGTCATTTGGCAGGGTCCCTGTGGGGTCTGTATTCTGTTGTCCACCCTTCATGTTTCTTTTTAAGAACCTCTTGTGGGTTTGCTCTGAAAGTGCAAAGGAAAACTGAAGGACTGAACCCTAATATTGCAAAACAAAGTTGTGAGATCTGTGGTCAGTACCTGGGGTGATATACACTTGTGCCTTCCTGGCATTGAATGGGTTTCTGTTATAGTCACTCAGCCAAACCTGATGGTGCAGGTGATGCTCGCACTCCTGCCAGGGCAGTGATGCCTGGCCCTCGCAGAGACTGTCTGCTGTGCCTGGTGTTGCTCCGCAGGAGTGGCAGAGGAAGTCAGTCATTTCAAAACTATGTTTTCTTTCATGTAGCAAAAAGATGGAACCTTCGCTGCTGGAGGCTACATGCCCCCGCTTCGGTTTAAAGCGCTGACCCTCTCGGTTGTGTTTGGAACCATGGTTGGTGGCATCATTATCCCCAATGGTAAGGTGGGCGGCTGCTCCTGCAACCGGCCCTGCCACTTTTCGCTCCCATTTTGTCATTCTTGCTGTTACATTCAGGCCCCAGGATGTCCCTCTCTTGTGTCCTAGAGTCTCATGCTGTCCTCTCTAGTGTCCTGAGAAAAGTCTAGAAGCACCCAAGTCGTATTTTTCTTTGGCTCAAGAGAAAGGCTGGGGACAACATTGTCAGCCTGATGGCACAGCAGGCACATTTTGAAACCCAAGTCATTCACAACTAGGCAGATACTTGTGTGCTGAGATGCAGGCCCACTTTGTCTATCTGTAGAGCTCCTCGTTCTTTGCTCACACTCTGTTAACTCCTGAAGTTGTCCACATGTACCCAGGGGAGCACTGAAGCATTCATGTTGTCCAGCCCGTTCCCAGCTGGTGAGTGGGAGTGTGTTGTCACAGAGGGGAACTCGCAGGTCCTCCCCAGAGGCCTCCTGTTCAAGTTCTTGACAGTGGCTGCACTCAGCCAGTATACCTGGCAGTCATGTAGGTCCTAGGTAGGCCACTGGGTCACCTGCCAAGTACCAAGCAACGAGACCCAGGCAATGCCGAGCCAGCATCTGATTTTGTTGGGAAATCTCTAGAGCCTGACCCTTTAAAATCAAAGCCAGCAGCCACCCTCCTCCAGGTCCAGATCAGTCTGATGGATCTGGTGCCTTTGTTCCTGATCATTGCCTTTGCCATAAAGCACCTCCCCGGCATCCCTGTGTGCTGGGGGAAAGCGAGGCCACCCTTTGCAGAGGCCTCTCCTGCTCACTGCCTGGTGTCACATCTGTTCCTAGTGGAGACCATCCTGGGCCTCACGGGAGCAACGATGGGGAGCCTCATCTGCTTCATCTGCCCAGCTCTAATCTACAAGAAGGCCCAAAAGAACGCTCTCTCTGCCCAGGTGAGTGAGTGCCCAGGGGCTTACACCCAGTGGGCTGGGCTAGGTGTCAGAGGACTGTCGCAGAGTAGTGTCCCACTCAGGTGTTCACAGCAGGTCTGCTGACTCACTTGCAGTCTGCTAGCTCAGAGGATGTTTGGTCACAGAAGTGTGGGAAACAGTGGGTCTGAACCTGTGAGCTATGTGTACTGGGGCTTCCCAGAGAAGACCCTGCCATGGCTTCTTCCCCAGAGGGTTTCCATGCTGTGATAGGTGTCCCATCCCCAGGGTTCCACCCTGCCCAGAGAGCACCACTGCTGGCACTTGTGGTGTATCCATAGAGACACTGCATGCATGAGCTTGCATGTGTTCGCTCTTATGCCATTTTTGTTATTTTTTAATAGTGATCTAGCTTCCTGCTGCTTTTCCTTAAAATCTTGCTCAAGTTGCTCCTCAGCAAGTGTGTGTGAGTGTGTGTGTGTGTGTGTGTGTCTGTGTGTGTGTACATCCAGCTGCTTTGCTGTTTTTAACTGCTTCCTGGTGCTACATTGCAGGAAAATTCCATAATTCCAGTCTCTGATGGAGCCCATCCCCAGCCTTTTGCTTTACACACAGTATTCCAGTGACCTGTGATGGTCTGTATACAGGCATTTCCATGCGTGCAAGGTTCTGGACATGGGATTCCTGGGCCAGAGTGTGATCCTGGGGGTGTCCTTCCCATGGGCAGACCTGAGGAGCCTCTGTCCCCAAAGCCCTTCCTGTCTGTCTTTATTTTTCAGCCCTGGGAGCCACTTGCATTTCTTTTCCTGTGAACTGTTCTTGCTATTGCTCACTTGTTACAAGGTTGTTGAGCTTTTTGTTATTGATGTATATGGGTGGGTGTTTAAAAGTAGAGTATGTGTGTAGTAAAGCACATAAACTGTGTGTACGGCTTGAAACAGTTTTGCACAGTGACCCCAGCCACAAAACTAGCATGTGGGGGTATAGATGACAGCATCTAGCACCTGAGGCTTCCCTTAGACACCTTGGTCACCCTCCCCATGCCCCAGAGGTTACTGCTGGCTGTCTGCTGACACTTCAGGGTGATGTTGCCTGTCTTTGACACAAGTGGAGTCTCACACATGTCCTGTGTGTTGGCCTTTTACTCAGCCTCCCACTGGGGCTCACCCACATGACCATGTGGGAGGAGTTCGTAGTGCGGTTTTCCCTTCTGTGCCTTTTCCTCACTTTACGCACCACTCAGCAGGACAGATGGCTTCTGGTCCAACACTGCAGCTCTGAACGCTGCTTCTGGTGCCAGTGGAGTGTGTTGTTCTGCACTTGGGAGGAGGTTGTTGGTCTGTGATCTGCTGCTTTGTCTGCATCTTCTGCCACATGGGTTTTGGATTTCCCTGGTGCCTCCACTCCATGGAGAATCCACTGCACTTCCCATCTACTATCCCTTTTAATTTTTTTTCAGTACTGGGGATTGAATCCAGGGCTTTGGACTGAGCTACATTTCAAGTCCTTTATTGTTTTTTATTTTGAGACAGGGTCTTGCTGAGTTGCCCTCGCTGGGCTCAAACTTGCCATCCTCCTGCCTCAGCCTCCAGCAGTATTGGGATTACAGATGTGCACCACTGCACCTGCCTTTACTGTCCCTTTCTTAAACAGCAGCCCTTCTGAAGGGTGTGCTGGGGTGTGGTGCGACTTACTAGGCTTCCTGTTTGCAGCCCTCAGTGACCAGTGACATTGTGGGCCTTTTCGTGTGCTCATTAGCTGTGCGGCTGTCGTATTTTGTGAATGCCTCTTCACCTTTTTTTTTTCTTTCCCTGTTGGCTTATCTGTCTTTTTCTTAATGACTTACAGGAGTTTTTAATAGATTCTAGATGCCTTTTTTCAGCAGTACATATTGCAAATGTTTTGCTCTTGGATTCTTTTTTGTTTTCTTCAGGTCATCTTTTGATGAACAGAAGTTCCAGTCTTAGTGTGGTCCAGTTTATTGATCTTTTTCTTTTCCTCAGTGCTTTTATGTTCTATTTAAGTTTGTGCCTGCTCCGAGGTTCCGAAGACAGTTATATAGTCTGGAGGCTTTTAATTTTATCTTTCACATTTCAATCTGCATTTCACCCTGAATAGATTGGTTTGCAGTGAGTTGTATGGGTCTCCAGTGAAGCCACACCATCCTTTCCCACACAGGTCTCTCTCAGTCCCCTAGGGGTATGTGAGGCTGTTGGGACCTCTCTGTCCACGAGGGCACTGCTGTCTGCTGTACCACTGCTGCTGGTTTGAGGGGCTGCTGCTTTGCAGTATGTTGTGATTGCCTATAATAGAAGACTTCTCACTGTATTTCTCTTTAAATGCTCTTTCTTAGAATGGCCTGTTGGCTTCTGCCTAATAAATTTTCATTGAGGTTGCATCAAAGAGTAGATTAAAGCTGGACACCATGGTGTATACCTGTAATCCCAGCACTTTTGGAGGGTGAAGCAGGAAGATCTCAAGTTCAAGCCCAGCCAGACAACTTAGTGACTTAGTAAGACCCTGTTGCAAAATTAAAAATAAGAAAAGGGCTAGGGATGTAGCTGAGTGCAAAAGCCCTGGGTTTAATCCCCAGTACTGCCACAAAAGAAAAGAAAACAGAGTAGATTGAACAATTGACATGATCCTTTTTTTTTTTTTTTTGAGACAGGGTCTCCCTGTGCAGTTCAGGCTGGCCTTAAGCTCACTTTGTAGCCCAGGCTGGTCTTGAACTTGAAATGATCCTCAACCTCCCGAGTGCTAGGATTATAGGCGTACACCACCAATGCCTAGCTATTAGCAGCACTGTTTGTAATAGCTAGATCTTGGAAACAGCCCATATGACCAGCAACTGATGAGTGGGTAAAGAAGATATGATGTTTTAATACAATGGAGTACTACTCAGCCATAAAGAAGGATAAACTTGAGGCATTTTTAGGTAATTGCATCTTGAGGCCATACTTGTAAGTGAAATAAATAGAACAAACATGTAAACATTGCATTGCTTCTCTGGTATGAGAAACTAAAAGTGTAAATAAGGACCAAAATGTATAATAGATATTGTATAATAGGAAGAAAATGTTCAAATGGGAAGGGGAACTAGGGAGGGGTGTGGGAGAAGGGAAGGAAGCGAAAAGAAAAAAAGTGAAAAGAAGGAAAATATGGAAACAAAGCTTTTGTAAATAAGGAGGGGAGGAGAGGATGAAAGGCGGGTAGATGAAGCTGAGGAGGGGGAATCAAGATATATCCTGTACAGGTACAAATTTCCTATGATGAATGTGATCATTATGTATACCTAAAATGTACCAATAAACTGAGTTAGTTAAAAAAAAAAAGAGGGCTGGGGATATAGCTCAGCGGCATAAGCGCTTGCCTGGCAAGCCTGAGGTCATGAGTTTGATTCCTGGTACCAAAAAAAAAAGAAAAAATAGAACTGCCCTACACAACATTATTATTGTTGTTTCAAACACACATGGTTCCAGACTTAATAGCTCAGCTTAATAGTCTCTGACCTTATGGTATTATGAAAGCAATAAGCATTCAGTAGAAATTGTACTTTGAGTTTTGAATTTTGATATTTTCCTAAGTGAGCCATGTGTAGTGTAATACTCTTATGATGCTGGGCAGCAGCAGTGAGCTATAGCTCCCAGTCAGCCTGCAAGCAAGAGGGGAAATCACCAATCCTGTTGTGTGGTGGATTGCTTAGCTAGGATATTTGGTAGAGGAGGTGGGTTCAATGCATTTTCAAGTTAGGTTAGTTTCAATGTGTGTTGAGTTTGTTGAGATGGAGCCCCACTGTAAGTCAAGGAGCATCTGTATTCAATCCTTTCCGATCCTTTCCTTTTTGGTTTCTTGGTTTTCTGTCTTGGTCCTGTCTTCTGGCATGCTTGGTGTTTTGCAGCCACTGTATTTGAGAAACTGCAGAGGTTCTGGATGATGTGACCTTTGGGCCATCAGATAGGATAGGGAAAAGATTGGGTCCAGCTGAGGCAAACCTGTGTCCACTTGCCCTGGCTGCTAGGGTCTCCACTGAACGCTGTCCACCTCAGGCTGCTGAATTATCTGCTGCAGTTCATGTTCTTGGCAGCTGCTTGTGCTCAGTCCTTGCTCATCCCTGCACAGGTGGAAGCTGGTACAGCCTCGGGGGAGAATGGCACACAGGGTTGTGCCCGTCAGCTTCTCTGGGATTCCTTTTGTCCCTGGGGCTGTGACTGCCAGAGCCCCTGCTGATCCTTCTTGATGGCCAGCCTTCTAAGTCTGGCTGGCATCTAGACTGCCACCTGGTGTCTTCCCTGGTGCCGGCACCATGATGGTGAGGGCCCTGGCAGCAAGCCTCTGTGAGTGCTGTCCCCTGGGTCATAGCTCTTCCAGCCTGAGCTGCCCAGGTTGTTCACCACTGTCTTTGGTCAGGTGATTGAGGGCTTCGGTCCAGCTTTTACTGTTGTACAAAGAGCAACTTGACACCTGCTGCTCCACCATCATCTGAGGCAGAAGTTTTTAGTCAGTTGGAGGAAATTAGCCCATTGCCTGTCAGATTGCAAATGTTTTTCTCCATCTGTAAAGTCTCAAGCTCATCATGCTTTATTTCTTTATAAGGAAGAAAAATCACTTAGATGTGCCTCACTCCAGTATTATTTTTAAAAAAATTCTTCCATCACTTTGTCCAGTGTTTTTTTTTTTCCTTTAAATTTTTGATCCCTCTATATTTTATTTTGTATAAGAATCAAGTAGGTATCCTCTCTCTTTCTAGGTGATTCCCTGGCTGTAGAGCACTGTTTACTGACTAAATCTGTAACTGATATGAATCATTTGAATAATCCTCACTGAAATGAAGGGTTAATATATTAACTTCTTACATGTGGATGGGCCTAGTTGGGGACTTTTAGTTTGTTGGTCAGTTTCCCCCTCTGAACTGTTTTAATTATCATGGCCTTGTAACAGCATTCGCTGCATTCTGAGCTGCCACTCTGAAACCTTTAATTCTAATCCTTCCTCTTTGCTCTTATTAATATATTATAAGGGATTCGTTTGAATCCCTGCTTTTTGCTGTTATTAATGTATTTTTGAGTGTTCTTATTTGATGTATTTTCCATATGAATGTCTGAACCAAGTGACAGAATTCTAAGAAAAATAGGTTCTGCTTTTTGTTTTTTGATCTAGTTGGAGTTCATGGAAGCTGTAGGTTAATTTAGGAGGAATTGGGGCTGGGGATTTAGCTCAGCGGCACAGTGCCTGCCTGGCAAGCGCAAGGTCGTGAGTTCGATTCCTGGTACTGCAAAAAAACCCAAAAACCCAAAAAAAAAAAAAAAAAATTTAGGAGGAATCAATGTCTTTAGACCCTGACTAATCTACAGTGTACATCTATGCGCTTCCCACTCATCCAGTTGGGCATGGCCTTGCATGCGCTCTCCTAGGCCTCCTGCTCTCCAGCCCATCTGCATGTCTCCTGTATGCAGCTGCTCAGCTGGGATCTCCTCTGTTGGCTTTTCTAAGTGGTTGTATGTAGGGAAGCTGTGGATTTCCATACATTAATTTTTTTACCTGTTAACCTGACTGGACTTTCCCTTACTGAACCTCTTGGTTCTTCACCTGCAATGAATGATAAATTCAGTTCCTTCTTTCCCATCGGTACAGCACTTCCCTTTTTCTTTTCCAGGTGTCCTCACATGCCTGCTGTACAGGGCCTGGGTGTGAGGGAGAAGCTCAATGTCTCCCTGACCCAGCTGGAATGGCTCCTAGTTTTGGCTCTTCAGCCTGAGGCTGGCTCTTGGTTTGATGTGTATTAACAAGTGTACATAGTCACAGCTCTGTGTGCATGTGGATGTGAGCACACACTGCACCATATCAAAGACCTACCCAGCCCCTTTTCACTGTTTGTTTGTTTGTTTGTTTGGATACAGGGTCTCTGTCATTCAGGCTGGTCTTAAACTCACTGTGTAGCCCAGACTGGCCTGGAACTCATGGCAGTCCTCTTGCCTCGGCCTCCTAAGGGCTGGAATTACAGGCGTGTGCCTCCATGCCTGGCTTTTACTAGGTTTCTTAAAGCCGAGAACATGTGTTACATTGTCTGAATTACTTTTTTGTTGTTGCTATTGTTTGTTTTGCAAGACAGGGTCTTGCTTTGTAGTCCAGGCTGGCCTCAAACTCATGGAGGTCCTCCTGTCTCAGTCTCCTGAGTGCTGGGATTACAGGCGTGCGCCACCACACCCTGCTCTGAACTACTTTTTGACCATGTTGGGGAGATCCTACAGTTCTCCCTCTGAATTAGTATCTTGAGGAGTTACCTGCCAGCTGCCCTCTGATCTGGAACAGACTCTCAGGTCAGCTGACCTGAGTTTGCTGTAGCTTACAAGTTGTGAGGGATGCACTCTGGAAGTCAGCTGGGGCTGGGACATGGTGGCCAGGCCCTTTCCAGAGCTCTGCTGCTTCCACAGATGGGACAGGCCCAGAGTCAGTGCTCGGTTCACCTGAGCACTCAGCTTGTTTTCTAGCTAGTGGCCCTGTCTTGAAGAGCCATGTGTCAGTGGAGGTGGTATGTGGTAGGTGACGGTGGGTGTTGGAAGGAAGGTGCTCTGAGGCTGTTCCCAGAAGATAATTAATGAAAATGGTCCCAGTGAACCAAAGGAAGCCTTGTCTGCTCTCATGTGTTGATTTTTTTGTCAGTCTCTAATCCTGAATGAGGCTGGTCTGGATCCTTGTTGTGGAGTTGATGCCATTCTAAAGCCAGCAGGGGGCACTGGAGCCTGACCAGGACATGGTTTTAGAAGAAAGAGACCCTCCCAGGCAAGGAAAGCTAGCCTGGGGGAGCAGAGGGGCACTGCCAGAGGGGGCTGGGGCAGGAAGCACGTGCTTGTGGAAAAATGTGGGTGATCGCCACCATCTTGTGCAGAGGGCAGTGCACCTCCGCACACAACCAGAGTGAGGCTGACTGGGTATGGCAGGGGCCTGGACACCACCCTGCTGGGTGTGGGACCTGAACTGAGGCACAGGCTGCAGGGTAGTTGGAGCCAGCCCCCAGGTGTTCCTTCAGTCATGGAAGCATAGCATTCGAGTGGCTCCCATAGTCCAGATAGGGGGAGTAGAAGCCATTTTCTTCCCATACCCCCCAGGCTTGTCTCTGTTCTGTGTCAGGCCCTCACAGTACTGGAGTCCCCAGTTATTCCCTGAGGGGAGGGTTGCTTAGAAGTCTTGTGGACTGTCAGAATCATAGCCAGAGACCTCTGAAATAGATGTCTGACACACAGGATCTTGCTTATTGACTTGGTCCCCTCATTTAGAAGCGCTCTTGCACCACATAGGAAGCTACTGGATGGCATGGTACTGGTGAGCTGGGCTGGGGCTCTAGAGACCAGGCTGGGCTTCTCCCTTGGCTTAAGGCTGTGCTCTAGCCAGCTGTCTCTCCCAGGCTCCTAGCTGCAAGGGATTTGTCCACCCTGGCTGACTGTTTTTGGAGTACAGAGCTGGGCTCCCATTCTTACTCAGGACCCCAAGGGAACTATGATCACTCCTTTGCACATGGTCAGCAACTAGACCCTCACACACCAGTGCAAAAGGAGAATCTTATGCTCTGGAGGCTGCATCTCACTTCTGCTCCATACTGTAAGGCAGAGTACTGCAGCTAGAGGGTCAGGGCCTTGAAAACAGAAGGCCCAGAGGCAGTCTCCATTTAGTGAAGGCACGAGGGCGTAGTAGGGGTTCTAATGACTTTTGTGACCCTCATGGGCTGCCTCCCATGCCAATTTTTGTGCCACATGGGCCTGGGTTACCCGCTGGCAGCTGTTGATCATGCAAGCCTTCCCTGTGAGGTGCTGATGGCCTCAGGACATTGGAGTTTCCACCTTTATTATTCTAAGACTACTCTGTCCACCATCAGACACTATCATTGCTCCATGTTAAGAAGAATATAATATGCTGATGTTCTGCCACACAGCTGAGGCTGGGTCCCATGAACATTTAAGAGAATAATTTTAAGGCAGAGCAGGGGCCAGGAGCTCTTGACCCTGAGCTCTGTGTATCACAGTGTTTATAGGTTCTGCCCTGTAGGGATTGGATCAGACAGTGCCCGATATGTACCTTTGGCAGCCCTGCTATTCCTTTATATGCAGGCCAGCTGTGGTTACTGCCAGAGGGTCCTGTGGGTTCCCCAAGAGCCCTGTAGAACTGTCAGGTACCCTGGCATGTGTGTGGGTGCTGGAGCCAGCTCAAGGTGTCTGGTGGCAAGAAGCAGACGAACTTTTCCTTGAGTTTTGTTCTGAGTTGGTCACTACCCACTTCAGAGACTGTAGGTCTCTCTGTCCCATGGAAATCTGTTTTGTGTAATTGCATTAGACCTGGGAAAGTCTCACCAGTTAGTTCTTCTGAGCTGATTGGTTTAAAGAGTCAACATACCTTTCTGAAAAGGACTAGGAATTCTGGCTCTGAGACCTCTGGGCAGTAGACCAGTGGGGGTCTCTGGCTGGACAGGAAGGCCGCCTTGCTGGCCCTATCATGAAACTGAAACAAAGAGGTAGCAGCGCCCCATGCTGAGGCAGCAGAGCACATAGGAAAGGGTTGGCCCGGCAAGTGCATGTCCTAAAATAGCCCAAGCTGCAACAGGACGGTTACATGGTGAGGCGTATGTAAAACTGCAGACTTTATGACCCACTGTGGGGCCCTTCAGAAGGCAGGAGAGGCCCCTCAAAAGTCAGTAGTGCCCAGAGTACAGCTTGTGGGGACACTGACAAGCACCCTACCAAGCTGAGGGAGATGGAGCCTGTCTCCCCAGTGACCCAGCACAGCCTCCTCTTGCCATCTCTGGATACGACCAGCTTATGTTGGGCATTGGGTGTGGCTGATGTTTGGGGAAAGATCATCCATACCCATGTATCCTGTGTCCTCTGCACAGGGCCTGCACCTTGATACGTGCAAGGTACCCTGCTAAGTTGGGCAGTTGCGCCGAGATTCTTGCTCCTCTTGCCATGTAGTCAAGCGACCTGGCCCCTTCCTGGGAAGCTAGATCAGGGCTTGGGTCTCTGCAGCCTTCACACACGCGTTGCCTGTGCTCTCCCAAGCTCCTCTTCACCTGGCAGTTCTCCGGAGACACAGCCCTTTGGACTCCATCGCCCCATCCTGGCCTTGCCATCTCTGAGGCAGGGAAGGACATATGGGCATGCACACCACTCTGATGGATTAGGGGACGGTGACACTCTTGGCTTCATTACAGTTCCTCACCATCAGCAGGCAGGCTGTCTGCTGGGTGCCACCATCCTCAGGCAAGCTAGACACCTGCTTGTGCTGCCCTCCTGGAGGGATGCTCTATGCCATTGCCCAACCCGCAGCTCCATTCCCCTCACTGCACCCCTCTGTTCCCTGCAAAGAAAATTTTCACTGCTGTGACTACACCTTGTGGGTCTCTGTCTGGTCCAGGTGGTGCTCTGGGTTGGCCTGGGTGTGCTGGTGGTCAGCACACTTACCACCCTGTCTGTGAGCGAAGAGGCCCCTGTGGACCTGGCAAAGGAGGTTCCCAGTGGCCGCCGAGGGGAGGCTGAGGGTGTGGCGAAAGCAGACGCGGCCCGACTCTCAGGTACGCACATGGCCCCAGGCCTCCCCCATCCCCCCAGTGTCCACATGTCCCCTGGGCCACAGAGTGTAGGTGGTGTTTTCCGGGCTGTCGGTTGGCTCTGCACCAAGCATGTTGCTCTTTGGCAGCAGCCTCCATCCATGGGTGATAGAGCTGGGGGGCGGGGGCTGAGCCCCACTCATCTCACCCATTAAGGCACACACTCGATGGGGGCTGGCCAGTGACATCTGTCTATGGGCAGGCGATGGTGTTGTACTGGCTGAGATCTCAGTGCCTTGCTGTGGGTGCACTGACAGGTATGTAAATTGTTGCTCATGTTTGTTTTTTGTTTTACAGATGTAAATCTCTAGCTAATTTTCTCTTAAAGTCAACCATGATGTCTCAGCTTTGTTTACTATTTTATGTGATTTATTGTTTGTTTACCAGTCCCACTGATAGAATTACAGCTCATATTCCCTCACGCAGCTGCAGGCCACCTCAGAAAATATCCTGGTGGTGGCCCTCTGTCTCCACTTGGCCTGCAGGTCCAGACCCATGCCTGCCTGCTGGCTCCGAGCAGCAGCAATGTGGTGATGGTCAGGTTCTGCAGCTCACAGCAGTGCAGTCACATGTGGCTGGCTCATCTATACAGTGAGGCTTGGATTCAGATCTACCAGGTGTCCATCTACCTGTGACTGGGCAGACCTTGTGGGGGAGCAGTGCTATCCTTGCTGGTGAGTTTCAGGTTGCCATGGAAGTGCTAGCTATGACACCTACTCAAGACAAACCTCTGTGATGGACAGAAGAAACAGTCTCTCAAAGGGAGCCTGGGTGAGAGCACCCTTGCTGGCTGTGCCTGAGCTCATGTCAGCTCTGCCTCAGCACAGGGACCTCAGGCTTCAGGCTGGCTGTGATCGGTGCTTGACAAGCCTCGTCAGCATTGTCCCTGTGTGCGGACTGCTCTGAGTGGCTCTCCCAGAGCCTTCCCCTCTGGACAGCCTTGTGCTTGGATTGGCTGCAGATGTTTTCCTGTGCTGTTCTTGGTTAATGAAGAGAGTCCTGTCCTGGTTCCTTGTGGTCACCAGGCTAAGAAGCAGGCTGGGCCTGCTAGGCAGGCACTGGGGCAACTAGGGTCCCTGGAGAAACAAAACCAAAGTCGTTTGTGCTGCTCTGCAGCAGAGCCAGCCCCATGGAGTGGGAGTGTCCACATGAGAGAGAGCTGGATGCCACTGCCCTTCCCACCTAATGGTCTGGCTCAGTCCTCCTGGTGAGGCCAGTCTGGCGTTGCTTCTGGGCCATCTGGCAGATTAGGTGCAGATGCTGGCTGCTACAGAAGGAAGAGAGGAGTCAGGGTGAGGGGTAGCATCCTGGGAGCCAGGAGCTGGGTCCTAGTGTGGTGAGTCCCTCTCCTGGACAGCAAGGTATGTGATCCTGAGCACTTTGGGACCACCCGCACAGAAGTGGGTGCCACCTGGTTCTCATCTCACTCAGCTGCAGGTAGGCCTGGTAATGAGTTTCTTGGTCATTCAGCACTGTGGCCCTAGTCGTGGCCAGCAGCTGCATCCTGTCACCACAGCCTGTGCAGGTTGCCTGCTCACCTGTGCCCTCTGAGGCCACATATGGTTTCCATTTCTTCAGTGAGGCTGTAACAGCATGCTTGGCCCTCTCAGAACCACATGCTGTCTGTGCGCAGCAAGTCTCCCCGCCTTCTAGCCGCTGCCTTTTCTAGGCGAGAGCTGAGGACTGCGGTCTATACTGACTTGTGAGTGCCTCGACTGGCTCTTTGATGTTATGCAGGCCACAGACAGAACCTGCTTGCATGGCCATGACCGAGTCCTGTCCTCCTGTGGGACAGGCATGATTGGCAGGTGCTGCCAGGCCCAATGCATGGCCTTGTGGGCCTGTGGCAAACATGGCCAAGTCCCTGGGAAAGCTCATGAAGACATTTAGCCATTTAAAAAGGCTAATTAGGCCATTCATCTCTGTGCCTGATAGCACCCCAGTGGGTCTCCGGACAGATTTAGATTTTGTGGTGTTCCAGCTTTTGCGGTGTTCCTTGTCTTCCTTCCCTTCAAACACTATGAGGCAGCATAGCCTGGCCCCAGTTCAGACCCCCACAACTCGTCCCTGCCCCCAGCAGGAGCAGCCCAGTGGCCAGTGGACCAGGTCTTAGGCAATGTGGGACAGAGGCAGGACCTACCGAGCAAGCAATGCGGTTGTACGTGTGGGCACTGGTGCAGAGGTGGCGCAGGCCCACTTGGACACATAGCTGTGCCCTGGGGCCCTGTGCCTCCAGCTGGTGGATTCCCTCTGCTCTGCCCTCACTGCTTGCTCCTAGGACCTGCCTCAGCCTCCACTGCTGTCCATGCCACCCTCTGTCCTGTAGCATAGGAGGGCTCAGAGTTCTTCTTCCCAGCGCCACCACACTTCCCTCCTCACCTGTGGGGCAGTGTGATCCTGGGGGCTCTCCCTTCAGTCTTGCTGAGTAGGTTGTTTTGTTTGTCTTTGGCAGTACTGGGAACTTTGTACTGAACTGCATTTCCAGCCCTTTTTTGTTTTTTATTTTGAGATAGGGTCTTGTTCGGTCACTAGGTTGCCTAGGCTGAGCTTGAATATGCAGTTTTCTTGCTTCAGCCTCCCAGAGTGCTGGCTACTGAGCAAGTTTTAAAAGCTGCTTTGCTCCATGTGCCTCTGCTCCTGTTAAGAGTATTCATTTAGTTTCCGTGCTGGCATTGATTTCCCCAGTGCCATTGGAGGTGACCATGCTAGCTTCACAGGACTTGTTGTGTTTGGGAGGGCCCCCATGAGGGGCAGGAAGGAATGCTACTTTCTGGCAGCTGCTGGCCTATGTGGAGCCTGTGTGATGTGGAGCCGCTGCTCTGCCTTTGAAGAGGAGCAAGCAGCATTCCCCCAGGGCTGATGCCCAACACTGGCGTTGGCCATGGGGCTGCCTGTACAGTCTGGGTACCAGGATATCACTGATGTCCTTCCCATCGCAAGAGATGAGATGGTGAGGCCTTGCAGCTGAGTGCGGAAGACTGGGTTTTTAAAGCAAGCCCTTGATACATAACCCTTTCCTCAGGGCAGACCAGATATGTTATGAAAGTTACCAAAAATGGGCTGGTTTTTAGAAAACCATCAGAGTAGTATCTCCTGCTTCCTGGGCAGGGAGCCTAGAGGCCCCAAGCTCCTAAATTGTGGGAGCTTGTCAGTAGGGTACAGGGATTGTATTCCAACATCATGGCTTTTGGGGGTGGCAGTGGGAGATGACTGACCAGTTTTACTGACCACAAGACACATAGCAGCAGCAGATGATACCAGTGACCAGCAGAGCTGTCCTGGAGTGGGGGGCCCACCTGCAACCCAGCCTTCCTGCCTGTGCTTGGGAGTAAAGGCTGGCTCCAGCATAGTGGTCAGGGCCATAGTGGATGTTGGCCTCTTCCCTTAAAGAGTGGGATATGCCACCCTGAAAGTGTCTGACTGTAGAGATGGGACTCTGAGCCGTGGCCTCCACAGCCTTTGGGGTTCCCTCTCCCCTTGCTGGCCCTGGGAAGTAAGAGCAGACTTGGCACCAGATCAGCATTCCTGCATGTGGAAAGAGCTAAGAACCTATGGTGTCACCCCAGCAGTGGGGAGAATACAGAATAAATGTGGAGTTTTCCTGGTTCTGCTGACAGGCCATGGTTTCCAGGGACTAGGTGTGATAGTTCTGAGGCTGCGTGAGGGAGAGACCAGGGTAGCTGGGGTGCTCTCCATCCCCCTGAGCACAGAGTCCTTCAGCAGAGCCACAGTGGGCATTCATAGCTGGGTGCTGGCCCCCATCTCTCCTTCTTTAAGGCCTTTGCGCTCTCTGAGGAGCTCCTGGCTGTGACCTTGAGGATTGGTGTGTGCTGGTGGCCTTGGGATTGGAAGCAGGCAGAGAGAGCACAGGGGTCTTCTTAGCTACTGATTTTGAAGTTTTGTGTTAGTTTTGCTGCAGCCAGGAGGCAGTGCCAGCTGTCCCTGATGAAAGGCTGGTTTCGTTCTGGAAAAGGCTATGTCCACTGCCCGCCAAAAGCTAGAAGGTGCCGGGCCGAGGCGGCTGCTGAAAGGTGTGAGCCAAAAGGCCTTTGTGGCCTCTTTGGCCATGCAGGGGAGTCCAGCAGCACTCCTTGGAGGATTTCCAGAGGGACTTCTGAGCATCGCCACCCCTGCTATCTGTCCTGTGCAGGAGGCGCTACAGCTGCACTGTGCTCGTCCCTGCACACTGGGCTGAGCCCTGATGCCCAAGAAACAGCAGGCACTCCCTTCCCAGTGATGTGCTGGGTTTGTTACCTGCTGAGGCCACTGTCAAAGGCAACTCTGTCCTGTGTAGGGTATTTCATTATCTGCTTCCCCACCCCCTCTTATCTCTGCAGGGGCTGGAAGACCCTCTTGATTTATGGCCACTTCTTACACACAGGAGACTTTGTCAGGGAGGTAACTCAGTGATGGACACCAGTGCGGCCATGCCGGTCAGTTGGCTGCACTGTAGAGCCCAGGCTGCTCTCTGCGGGCCTGCCTGTCACCAACTGGGGAGGCGCTGGCCTCCAGTTTGCCTTGGAACCTTGGCTCCTCACAGACAAAGCATAGCTCATCTGTATACATCGTTCTGCCTCCCTAAACTAGGATGCCAGGTCAGGCGCCCCAGGCTGACGCCAAGCTGAAGTGGCTTCCCCTGTTTTCCTCTCCTCTGGGAGGTGGTCAGACCCCATCTGCTGTTCTGGCAGGGCTGTGTATAACTCCTCTCCACCCAGCTTCCCTGGGTCCTGGGGCCATGGTGGCCTCTTCAGCCGCACCTCCCCCGCCACTTCTACCTCCCTTCCAGGGCAGCTTGAGTCTGGGGAGGGAGTACAGAGGTGGCTTCTGGCCTTTCGGATGAAATGATTGCTTTCCAAAGTTGTTTTTTGTCTTCTTTTTTTTTTTTGGTCTTTTTGAGACAGGGTCTCACTATGCAGTTCAGGCTGACCTTGAGCTCACTTTGTAGCCCAGGCTGGCCTCGAACTCGCAATGATCCTCCTGCTTCAGCCTCTCAAGTGCTGGGATTACAGGCGTGCGCCACCATGCCTGGCTATTTTTGATTGGTTTTTTTTTTTTTTTTTTTTTTTTTTTTTTTTTTGGTCTTTTTGAGACAAGGTCTCACTATGCAGTTCAGGCCAAAGTTGTTTTTCTCCCAGGTTAGTTCTTTAGTTTCTGTTGTGTTCACCCAGCACATAGAAAGTGGTTTTTTTAAACAGAGAGCCAGGGCTGTGTGGCTCGCAGGGGGCCACACAGCTCTCACAAGTGGCCACCTTCAGCAGCTTCCCTTTTGTCCTTGTCCTTTTGGTGTGAATTTCCCCCATCAGCAGTAGGAAGTTGCCAGGATTGCAAATGCACACACCGAGTGTTATTTCTCTTATAGCCACTCCCATGCTTAGCCTTTCAGGAGCAGGGTTATGGTTGGCGGGGAGGCCCTTGAAAAGGAGCCCCTTGGGAGATGCAGCTCTTTAGTGGGCTTGTGCCACCCCCTGGTGGTCATGGCTGAGAATTACATGCTGTCACCTGCACCTAGTTAAGTATAAACTGCATTTTGACATATTTTTGTTACTACATATGAAATATGACAGTTTTCTGTGATGCTTAGCTGCTGATAATTGAGCAGGAAAAAATGACTGGTTAGGCTTTGCTGTTTGGCTGGGAAATATGATCACAACCCAGGGGAACACCAGGCCTTATGCTACTGATGGGTGGCTGTGGGGAAACATGGGCAGCTCTCTGTGCCTTGCTTCCAGTCCAGGACCCTGTCGTGGATGTGGCTGAGGATGGCAGGGAGAAGCCGAAGCTGCTGGAAGAGAAAGAGGAGCTGGAGCTGGCCCAGATTAAGGGCCCCGTGGACATGCCTGGTGGGGAGGAGGTCGCCGAGAAGCAGGAGGCTGCGCAGCTTGATCGCCCTGGTCAAGGTGGGTGGTGCTGGACGCTGAAGGGCAGAGAGAAGTTCCAACAGCCTGCAGAGATGCTCAGGGCTGCGTGCCTTCCACCTTCCTTATCTTCCCATGGCCAAAGTTACTGTGCTACTGTGCCTCTCATGACTCCAGAAATAGCTCCCATCCTCAGCCAGCTGAGCTTAGACTCAGCGGACAATGGTGCTTGCTGGCCCATGTCACAGTCAGGAACCAGAATGCAGGTTCCCTGGGAAGGGAAAGTGGGAATCCACCTCCTCAGCCTGACGCCCAACTGCCCTCATCCCCTTCCAGGTATCGCTGTCCTTATGGGTGAGGCCCACCGCCATGAGCCTCCCATTCCTCATGACAAGGTGGTGGTGGACGAAGGTCAAGACCGAGAAGGACCGGAAGAGAACAAGCTGCCTTCCAGGCACACGGATGGAGGGGCTGCCAGGGGCAAGGGGCAGATGGTGCCACCTCCACCCAAGTCAGAGAAGGAGCTGGAGAGGGAAGAGGCTGGGAAGAGCCGTGAACAGGCCCAGCCCTTAGGGGCTGTGGGGGATCTTCCTGAAGACCACCAGAAGGTCCCAGAGGCAAATGGTCAGCTTGTTCTGCAGTCCAGGAAGGAGGACCCGGGACCAGGTCTTGATCCAGGGCCCCGGGTGGCCCTCTTAGCGGAGAAGAACACCAGGGCAGCAGGGCAAGGGGAGGAGGCTGTGCGCGCTGCTGCGGGGGACACTGGAAACGTCGTGGAGAGTGACCCTGGTGGGTGTCAGCCTGGGGCTCTCTGTGGGGAAACCCTTCTCCCTGGCAGGATATTGGGGGGCAGGCTGGGGAAGGGGCAGGAGCTGTTGATTATTCTTACTTCTGTCCCATCTCTTTCCCATTCCACAAGATTAGCATGTGAATGTAGCAGCCCCTTCAGCAGCTGGTGGGGGAAATGAGTCTGGTGGTGTGACAGTTACTATAATATCTGTCACACAGTTGTTTGCCAGACCACTAAATGTCAGGTGCCACGCTGTTCTCGTGTGTCTGGGCGCGCACGGGGATGGTGCAGGAGCGCTTGACAGGTAACACATTGTTAAGTGCCCGTCTAAGAGCTGGTTAGGACAGGGCTTGCATTTTAATTGGCAAAGGTAGTTAACATTGGCTCACTGCCACAAGCCTATGAGATTGTTAAATATTTTTTTATTACTTCCCTGGTAATCATCAGGTTGAATATAAACTGTGCTGTGGGGGGGGGCAATGGAGAGTCATTTTAGAAAACATCTGCTGCCTCCTTTGTCCCATCCCCCTCCTGCCTTTTTGCAAAACCTGAGTCCTGAGTGTGTGCAGGTGGGAAGCTGCCCCTCCTGGCACAGAGACCGCCTCCTGGGGCTGGGCTGCAGCGGGGGCAGCGGGAGCAGCGGGAGCAGCGGGATGCAGAGCGGGCAGCGGAGCAGCCAGGCGGAGACCAGGCGGGCAGCAAGCTGGAGGGTAAGGCCTGGCCCTGGGGTGGGGGGCAGCTCCCAACTTCGGCTCCTCCTAGTGTCCTGTCCTACTCCAGAGCATCTTCAGTGACTCCCTTCTGCCTCTTGCCAGCAGCTTTCTCCCTGGTACCCCCTTAGGAACATTTTTTTATATCTCCCTTTCTGAAACTCTTTAAAAAAGAAAATCTGTTGTTCTGTCATATGGCTTTTAATTAGCATTTTTATTTCATCTTAAAGTGGGTACATTAATATTTCCAACACTCAGGGCGTTTAAAGCCAGCCAGGTGTGGGGCATTAGTACATCCAGATGCAAAGAGTTTTCAGGCTGGGGCCTTGTCTTGCCTGGGGCCCATCAAGGGGGCTGTGACTGGTGTGGTCCCTGCCAGAGCCCCAGCCCTGGAGCTCCACAGTCACACCTGGCCCGGTGCCTCACTGGTGACTACTCATCCATTTTCTTTGGTGACCCCAAAGCCTTGGCTGGGCCTCATCGCCATGCGTCATCATTCCCTTAGGACACAGCCACTGTGCTTGGGTGCTGAGAGGCCTGACCCTGCCCTGGTGTGGGGGTGTGGGTTGCTCAGTTCTCCTGGGCCAAGCCCAGGTGCTGGTTTGGCTGCTTCTGGACCAGCCTTGCCTCATGGTTTAGGGCTTGCTACAGTCTTAAGGTGCCTGGCTTTGCCCCCAGCTGCCGAGTCTACCCCCCCAGTGGGGGCTGTGGCCTCAGGACCGCTTCTCCAGGTGTGGCGCCCAGAAGGCAATTGTGAGCAGCTGCTCTGGCCTGAGCCCCCAACTCTGAAGTCCTAGAAGGCAGAACCTAAAGGGACATGTTAGGTTTCTCCAGTTCACGAGTTATCTGGAAAATTTCCCCACACTTAGTATTTTTGTTTCTGGTTTAAGTCTGACTATATTAATTGGTTCTAATTCCTATACTCTGTTAACTAAACCTGTTTGATTCTTTGATGTTTTCCTTTCTGAAAAAGAGACTTTTCACGGTTTCCTATTCTGCCTTTCTTCCATATGCCTCTCAATGGGATGAACAGCTGAAATTAAAAAGATAGTAGCAGGTATGGCTCAAAAGGAGTGTGTGAAGATGAGCGGTGTGCCTGTGGAGGTCTGCAGGTGCGCCCACAGCGCCTGGCCTGCATGCACGCCCACTGCCCCAGGGGTCCCGGGCATCCAGTTCATGCGCCCTCCCTTATAGATACCTCAGTTTTTCTCAGCCCTCCGTGGCTTTGCTGTCCTCAGAGGACAGTTGAAGGTGTCTGTCAGCAGGAATGTTTCAGGTACCACTGAGTCAGAGACAGGGTGGGCCTGCATGTCCCTGCTGCCATGTGCATGGCCTGTGCTTGTACATTCCACATGCACCCCAGCATCCCATCTGTGCGCCTGCCAGTGGAGTCCTAGGGACTCTGGCCTGGGCAGACTGTCACCTCCACACTGTTTTACATCTGTCCCGTGTGGCTTCCAGCTGGACATAGTGCCTTTTCTTCCCCTCCCCAGGTCTAGTCCTCCAAGGAGGAGCAGGTGAGGTGGGGGCCTGCTCTTCAGGATCCATATGTTAGGGGCTGGGAGGGGGCCAGCAGCATGTGGGCGCTGTCTTTGTTCTGAATGATTACATGCTCACAACACTCAGACTGTGGGGTGAGGTGGCCTATGGCTGAGGTGGCCAGCCTGAGTCTGTGGGCTCAGCATCTCAAGCTCCTCGTCTACAGGGGAGTATGTGGGAGCCTGTCCCAGCTAAGTGGCCTTTCCCAAGCAGGGGTCTGGCTGACCTTGGCCATCAGCAGGGAGCAGGCTGCCCTTCCTCCACACAGCCAGCTGCAGTGTCCTCTCCGCTGGCCCAACCGCCTGTGTGTCCTTGCTCAGGCCACGTGGGGTCTGGACAAGGTCTGGGGATGTGTGCATGAGAGGGCGCTGATCCAAACTGCTCTGGCCACTTGTCAGTCTGTGCTGGGCACATGGGGCCCCTCTTTGGGACCTTTTACTCTGACTACCTGCTAAACATTCTTCTTCCTTCTGACTTGAACTTGTACATCTGACAGCTCTAACCTATCCTCTTTTAAAGATTCCTGATTTTATAACGAGAGCTGTAAAAATTGCATATGCTGTGGCTGCTTGTGGCACACAGCTGGCCCAGTGCTGGAAGATTGTAGTAAAAGCCAGCTCCTGCACCTGGTGATCCAGGCATGCCTCGGCCTGTGCTCTGTCCGCAGGAAGACACAGCAGGCGGAAGCCGCCTGTAAGGACTTCCCCCCTCTCTGAACTTCTCCGCAGCTTGCCCCTTCCTCTTGGGTGCTGGTGTGTGGCTCTCCTTCCAGCAGGACTTGCTGGCATCTGGCAGGTGGTCAGGAGCCACGTGTCAGCAGTCATGTGCTGACCGCTGGCCAAAGTCTCGCTCATGTTCTGGCCTTTGTGCTCTACTGCAGAGAAAGGCCATTTTCCTAAAATATGCAAGGCCTGGGACAACCCCCAGTACTGCAAGGGAAAAAAGAGGGAGCAGGAATATCGTTTCTGTTTTTTAAATTCTCATGTTGGAGGAAATTTCCTCTTTTCCCCTTGCCCCACCCTCTTCCCCTTTCCTTTTTTGTTTTCCTTCCTTTCTTCCCTTCCTTGGCTTCTTCCTTGTTGCCTAGCTGGCGTCAAACTCACTACCTTCCTGCTTCAGCCTCCTGAGTAAATTGGGATTATAGGTGTTCATTCTCACACCAGCCTGGAGAAAACTTTCTGCAAGTATGAATATTCTTTTCCCAAATAATAGCTTCATTTTCTTAATGCTTGTTCTAGAACAACTAAACTTGTGAGATGGGGGAAATCACCTGGCCCAGATTACTATCATGGGTGGCTAGCACGTTTCCTCTATGTGATCTCTCAGGACGCGCATGTTCAGTGAGCACTGGGCAGCATTTGAGGCCAGCTAGGCCACCTGCCTGTTGGAACCACAGCAGCAGAGCAGGCAGGATGGCTATTGGAGAGGGTATGGGTGGGGGTGAGGCTGGACCCAGCTCTGCCAGCCTACCAGGCTGCCTTGGGGCTTAGGCTCTGGGGACTAGGCGGAACACCTCACTGTTTGCTTGCACAAGCAGGGTGCTAAAACAGCATTGCCAGTGTGGGCTGTCACCAGGTAGGCTTCTGTGGGTGGCTGTGTCCATATTGCTGTGTTGTGTGGGCAGTTGTACATCCTGGCTGTGTGTGTCCCTAGCAGAAGCTGGCAGGGCAGAGATGCTGGACCATGCCGTCCTGCTGCAGGTGATCAAAGAGCAGCAGGTGCAGCAGAAACGCCTGCTGGACCAGCAGGAGAAGCTGCTGGCTGTGATTGAGGAGCAGCACAAGGAGATCCACCAGCAGCGGCAGGACGATGAGGAGGACAAGGCCCGGCAGGGTAGGTGGGGCCGTGGGCAGGATAGGGCAGAGCTGTTGGTGGGCCCTGGCCTAGGAGGCAACAGGAGCTGGGCCCGGTGAGGGTGTCTCCACGTGTCCCTGCGGGCTGGTGCTGAGCATTGGTGGCCTCAAGTACTACAGGGTAAATTTAGGTTTTGATTCTTAATTCCTATTTTTTCCAAACATTTTTTTTTTTTGGTACCGGGAATCAAACTCAGGACCTTACACTTGCCAGGCAGGTGCTGTGCCATTGAGCTATATCTCCGGCCCCTGATTCTAAATTCTTAACTGCTTGCAAGTTTGTTCCGTTCAGTCCCTGTTTTAGCAGCTTGTGTTCATTTCTGTGGCTAAACTGAGTACCAACTTTGTTTGCAGGGGACATGCAGCCAGAGCCTGGGGTGGCTGTCCCCAGAGGTCAGGAGGAGGCTCGAGACGGGCATGCTGGGGAGATGGTGGAGAATCCCCCTCCGCAGCCCATGGAACCTGTGCTGGGAGCTCCTGGGAACCAGCCTGCTGCACCCCAGGAGCTTGGCCAGCACTCCCCAGAGGAGCCCAGGCAGGCTGTGGGAAGAGACCCAGCTAGTCCTCCTGACACACAGCCCCGGGCAGCGCAGGCCAAGCTGAACAAAGACCAGAACGGTGCTGTGCCTGAGGCAGCCAGGGCTGTGAAACCACTGGCCCAGGACCTGCAGGCAGGGCCCAAGCCAGACCCCACGAGGGCACCTAGGAGCTCAGAGAAACACCTTGCTGAGGAAGTCCCCAGGGAGATCCAGGATGTTTTGGGCAGAGGTTCCCAAGAAAAGAAGCAAACTGGAAAGAAAGCAGCACCCCCTGGAGCCAATGTTCAGAATGAGGCTGGCAGGGCTACGGCAGGGGCAGGTGCAGAGGCTGGGGACGGCCTTGTGAAATCCAGGCAATCAGACCTAGTACCCTCTGTGGGCCCATCTGGCAGGCCGGCAGTCGTGGCTCCTCAGCCCCAGGCTGGATTGGGTCAGCAGGGGCCCCGGGCCATTGCCGATGGGGGCCAGGGTAGTCACCTAGAAGCAAAACAGGAGTTCCCTGGAGGGAACCATGCACCCACTCCTCAGAAGCAGCCTAGAGCTGGAGAGGAGGCTGCTATCCAAGAGCCCAGGCAGAGGTCAGACTCTGAGCCTGGGCCCAGACTCTCAGTACCTGAGGCTCAGAAGCCAGACAACGCCAAGCCCAACCGAGATCTGAAACTGCAAGCTGGCTCTGACCTTCGGAGGCGGCGACGGGATCTTGCCCCTCACCCAGAGGGTGAGCCATCCCCAAAGGATGGGGTCATCATCAGCTTTAACCCCCTCCCAGACATCCCAGCCAATGACCTGCGCAGTGCTCTGGACACCCAGCTCCGCCAGGCCGCTGGAAATGCGTTGCAGGTAGTCCACAGCCGGCAAATCAAGCAGCTGCCCAGCGCTCCCAAGGAGGCCTGAGCACCGGCTCACAGCGACGGCCCAGCGAGGGCCACTGTCCTGTGAGTAGCTGGCCTCCTTGGCCTCGTCCTGGCTGAAAATGGAGCTCATGCTCACTGATCCTCAGGGATGTGTGTCTGAGACCCTCACCAAGTGCCGTGGCATCAAAAAGGCCTCACGGTCTATACTGTTTGCTGCTGAACTGTCACCACGTACTGTGAGGGCCACTTGTCTCTGCACCCCCTGAACCCACGCGACCCACAAGTGGCTCTCAGTGGAGTGGCACAGGGGCCCGACTCATATCTGAGGAGAGTTGGGTCACTGCCTGCAGTGTGCCTTTGACATCGCCAGGGCTGGGCCACCTTGGGGCTCTGTGAGAACCTCCATCCCCTGGAATAGTCCTGATGCTGCCAGTGTCCCAAGGAGCAAAGGGGGATGCCCCACAGCCCTCCTCCAGGCCTTGGCATCTGAGAGGCACAGACCTCTTGGCTGTGCAGGCTTCCATGGCCTACACATGCTCTGAGGTCTGCTCTTTGAAATCAGATTATTAAGATAACAAAATAAATAAAAAACCTTGATACCTGGTGAGTCAAGTTGGCAATGAGTTAATTCCTAGAGGAAAACTCATTTGGAATTCTGGATGGTAGCAGTGCTCTAACCCAGACCTCACAGCACTTGCAAACCAGGTAAATGTGGCCCCAGAGGGATCCTCCAGCATGCCTGGTGTGGGCTTGGCCTGTGACTGGGGCCAGCCTCCTGCATCTCACCAGCTGTTAAAGTTGCAGCTACTTTTTTTTTTTTTTCCTTTTGAGCCAGGGTCTTGCTATGTAGCCCAGGCTGGCCTTGAACTCACAGCAATTCTCCTCCCTCAGCATCCTGAGTGCTGGGATTACAGGTGTACCCGACCACACCTGGCGTAGCAGCAACTCATATTCAAGCACTGTGTCTGCCCTGTATCTGTGTGGGCTCAAGGCCAGAGCCTGGGCTGCCGCTCAGGCCAGCTGCCCTTTTCTGTGGTCAGTATGGCCACCGGGGCCTCACTCCTGAGGTGAGGCCGAAGAGCAGAATGTGCTGTCCCTCGAAGCCATGGAGAGTGCTCTAGTTTGGATAGGCCCTGGCCTGGGTGGGCTTGAGAAATACAGGGCAAGGGCACAAGAGCCTGGCTTGTGCTCCAGTCCTGCCACCAAGGCCATGGGAGGACCACATTAGTGAGCCCTTCAGGCAGCGCTGGCCTGCTCTCCTTGGACCTCATGAAACCCTTTCAGGTTTTCTTGTGATTTCCTCACACGTCACTCGGTACCCTGCAGCTGGACAGTGACTGGAAGGAGAGGAAACGTTCGCAGGCTGAGTCGTAATTCCTGCTGAGCCCCAGAGCTAGGCAAGGGCCTGGGCTCTGATCATAGGAGGAGCACACCCAGACAAGGGGCCTGGGTCTCAGGTCTTTTTTTTCTTTGTAATACTGGGGATTGCCCAGGCTAGGTTCAACTTATGATTCTCCTGCCTCAGCCTCCAGGGTGCTGGTGTTTCAGGCATGCCACCATACCCGGCTTCATCCTTTGTTTTTGACTAAAGGAGACATCCAATAAAGGAGTCATGTCCAGAGTAGGATTTCACTGGTTGATGGTGCTAAATCCTGGACCTGCATTCAGTTTCCTCTTCCTGGATGTCATCCTACCTGCTTCCTGTTCTCTAGGTAAACTGTGACCTTGGAGCAGACAGCAGGCAGAGACACGGGTGGCCCTGCCCTGGCCGCCCCTCAAACTCCTGTCCCACCCCCCTGCCAGCCTTTCTGCCCCTCCTGGCAGCAGCCCCATGGGGAAGGAGGGGTCTTCCCTAGAAACCTGGGGCCTCTGGGCAAGGATCTGCTTCCTGAGCTCAGACACTCCCCAGCTAGGCCACCATTCAGGTTGGTTGCTGCCATCGGCAGACACAGGGCCAGGTGCACCCTATTGCAGCCCACCAGGATATGATGCTTGCCTCTGAGACCCCTTTTTAGAGCAGTAGCAATGTGGCCAGTTAGCAGCATGGGGTCCCACACGGTTGGAGAGTGCTCTGCACACTGGGCCTCGAGGGGGCCAGCAGGGCAGAGCCTTCGGGGAACTTGAGGCCTTACCCAGGAGTCAACATTTACAGAAGCTATGGTGTGAGAATGGGGTAGTGGGCCTTCGAGGGTTATGTGGGCCTCACAGGGTGGGGCCATGGGAGGACCACATTAGTGAGCTCTTCAGGCAGCGCTGGCCTGATCTCCTTGGACCTCATGAAACCCTTTCAGGTTTTCTTGTGATTTCCTCACACGTCACTCGGTACCCTGTAATGTGGGCCTCACATGTGGTTCTGGGGGTGTCGAGGTAGTGCACACTCTTGCTTTCTGCCAAGTTAGCAGGCAGCCCCAGGCCCTGCTGGACACAGCCACCTGTTGCTGCACTCCATCGAAGACATTGTCGCAGCTTCCAGAACACCATGTCGCCCAGAGGGATGGCAGCAGAACCCTGCACAGGCGACACAGCATGGAAGCGGCAGAAGCCACCTCTGCTGCCCGTTGACAGCTGCATCCACATCACAACCACAGTCTCGAGGACTGAGTTGGGGCTGAAGACAGGAGGGCAGGAGCCAAGGCCAAGGGAACTTTGGGAGGAAATTTGGGGTGATGGGGTCAGCTGGACTGGGGTCCGGGAAGACAGAGCTGAGTTTGGAGCCCGGGCCATGTGGGCTGTGAGAAGTGGTGGCCCCATCTGCCACCACAGAGGTAGATGTGAGGACAGCAGGAAGCAGCACCTGCCCAGTCTGGAGGGCTTTGCATAGGGGAGTCCCAAGGGACTAGATTGGAAGTCTCTAGGGAAGCTGGGTGTGGTGGGGCATACCTGTGATCCCAGCACTGGGGAGCTGAGGCAGGAGGATCACCACAAGTTCAAGGCCAGCCTGAACTGCATAGTAAGATGCTGTCTCAAAAAAAAAAAAAAAAAAAAAATTGAAGTCTTTGGGAAGAAATTCTAGCCAGCAAAGTGGCAGGGGCAGTAGAGAGGCTTGGGCAGGTTGCAAGTGGGTACCTGTCCAGTGAGGCCTAAACCTGGGTTGTACACTAGGCAGTAAGTGCTCCTGAGATGCATGGGCTACTACCTGCCCCATGTGTCACCCTGCTGTGGTGGCTCCAGGATGGATGGGCTCCACCCAAGGCCACATGAGCACATTCTGGTCCCATTAGATCCGGAACTGCCCTGCCTGGTGGTCCACAACATAGCTGGTCCTGGCCTTGGCACAAAGGCAGCCCCATGCCATCCTGGAGGCCATGTGCGTGTCTCAAGATAGCTCATGGTGTATAGCAGAGACGTGGTTCAGGCCTAGGGAAGTCAGGCCAGTTCTGGATTTGCATTTAGATGACACAGAAGCACAGATTGCAGTTCAAGGGTGTGGTGCATGAGGGCCTGGCCCTGGCCCTGCCTCTGGCCCTGGGGCTCTGAGCAGATGTAGACTGCGACTTCCACAGCGAGGAGGGAGAGAGACTCAGCAGTCCGCACAGCACCCAGCAGGTGGCATTTGGGTCTGTGGAACCCCCCATCCCCCACTGCACTGTATTCTGAGTGTGCACCCTGTGGCGTGTGGCACTAGTGGATTTGGCCCTAGGTCCTGGGGAGGGGAGCTAGGACCTGTCCACAGCGTACTAGGGCTGTGGGGTGCAAGGATAGGCTGCAAGGAGGTGGCTGTCCTTGGGTGGAGGGGCTGAGCATGCCAGGACTCTCTTTACAGCTCAGGCCTGTGGCTGTGATAGTCAGAAAAGCCATCTGCAGAGTTCCTACGCTGTGGGGTTCCCCCTCAGGGTACTGCTGTTTTTTTTTTATCTTTGGTATGTCCTGGACATGGGCTTTTTGGTCTAACCGTTTCACATGATTTAGATTACATATTTTTGGTGAGAATGTCTTTTAAGTGGGGGTGCTATGGCAGAGTTCACAGCCCAAACCCACCAGCTTTTTTGAGGCAGAGGGGGAGCCTAGATCTGACCCACTCCGTAGGAAAGGCCAGGCCCCCAGTATACAACAAGGCCAGCATACAATAAACATACACCTGAGCAAGATTTAATAGTCTTTACTGCTGGTTTGGTTACATCTCAATCTAACTCAGATTATTCTGCACACAGTGCTAGAAAACAAATTCCTGTCCTTCCCAAGGTGCAAGTTGATGAGGAAAACACACACCGAAACCCTGAGAACTTCGCCACTACCGCTTCCTTCAGCCTGCAGAGCGGTCCACAGGCACCACCCCCACAGGGCGCCGCACCCATGGAGTGGTGGATGCAGGGGCCAGAGCTCAGGTCCTTCCTAGGAGCCTCCCTTCAGGCTCTTCTTGGCCTGAAAAATAAAGCATTTTGTCTGAATTGCTTATTTCTAAGTTAGGTATTACTCAAAAATAAGAAAGCTACCACACAAAATGCCATAGCCAACCAAACACCTTACACACAACTTGGGAGCTAGTGCATGGCCAGGGACCAGGCTGGGTGGAGCTCAGGAGGCCCCTGGGTTGGGTGTCTCTGATGTCCAGCACAGAGCTCACTGCTGCAGCAGACCCCATGCAGGCCCCCTATGCTGTTGCCAAGGGCAGTGGAGCCCCTTCTCCCTGAGGAGACCAGAGGTTCAGAGATGCTGAAGTTGCCTAGCAGACAGTGCTCATAGGATGAAGCCAGAGTCTGAGCACAAAGCCTGTACCACCTCCTCAGGTAGCTCTCCCTGCTGCATAGTGACTCACGGTGAGGGGAGGCTTGTCATTGAGAGGGACTCTTGAGGGTCCCGGCTGAGCCTGGTCCGTCTAATGATGGAGATTGGCTTCCGTGACAGAGGAAGGTTCCACTGGGCATTGGGCAGGGGCTCCTGAAGGTCTTTATTTGATCCAGGTGAAGGAGTGTAAAGTAGGGGTCACAGATGGCCAGACACCTGATGGTTAACTCGTGACTGGCCATAGGGTGGTGAAGAGAAACCTGTGTGTACCGGGATTGTCCCCTCAAACACAAGTGCTCCTGAAAGTTGCTAGCCATGAACCCCGGGGTGAAGGCCAATCTGCCTGCCTTTCCCCTCACGGAAGGCTTGAAAGTTGGGACGCTCATGAAAGTCAGGAAGCAAGTCAAAATGACAAAAAAAGTGCTACTTGTGATGAAAGCCCTGCCTCTGGATGGCAGGCTGGGCCACAACAACCGTAAGTAAAGTATGAGTTTTCCCAGCCTTCCAGAAAATGAGAACAAGACTGAAGGAAACATACGTACTGTGTGCTCTGCCATTCTGCTTAGGGCAATCCTGGAGCACCAAGAAACTGCTTCAGTCACAGACTCCTCTTAGTTCTTGTCCAACTACCCTTCCCTTGTCCAGTTCTCATTAGGATCTCCCTGGAAACAGGTGACCCACTGAATCAGGGTGACACTGTGGGAACCAGCCTCAGAAGGACAGCCCCCCTGGCAGTTGGCACCCTCCAGTCCTGTGCAGGAACGTTCATAATGGCCATCTCCTCCAGCCTCCAAGAACGCTACTTTCTCCAAGGCCTTTACTCAGGTCTTTCTCCTTCATAGTATGTGGCCATTTTCGCAAGTTGTTTTCATTGGTGGCGCAATGCATCAGACACAGACCTGACAATACTATGACCAAGAAACACAAAGGACTTGATGGAGGATGAGTCAAAGACAGAACCAAGAACCGGACTGTTCCCACCACAACCTGCTGATGCTTCGATGAGAACCGCTACCATTTCTTTGTAGATTCTTTGTATACTCTATGAATTCCCTGTCGTCCTCTATGAAAGGGTGTGCCTGACAGGTCAGAAGCGACTAGCAGGTGCTGAGGGGGCCCACCAGGGTAGAAACGAGAGGTGTGGGGGCTTGGTCAGAGTCCAGGGTCGGGGTCCTGCCCATGGCGACAGCGCCAGAGTTCACGAGCGCTTCCCGCTACATCACCACTGGGCCTTCCTGAGGTTAGCGGAATCCTCGATTTACAAACGCGGAGACCAAGCTGTCTGCGGGGTCGGGGCTGGCCTTACACCCTGAGGCAGCGGGAAAGGTAAGGCAGGCCGGGGACGACCTTCGGCAAAAGCGGGGTAAGGGCAGCGCCCACCTACCGCGGCAACAAAGCAGCTCCGCAGGGCCTCGAACTCCTGTGCACAAAGGTCCTTGCTCAGGCGGCCGCCCGGGGTGGTGGAGGCCTGCACGCACTTGCCGTACGCCACGGCCTGCGAAGAGATGGGCGCGGTCACGGGAGCCTGACGGTGGCCACCTCTCGGCAGGCTACAGGCCCGACCGGCCCTTCCTCCTAACCTGTAGGCACGGCCCCGCTCCCGGCTCCTTACCTCGGCCTCGCAGGCCGCCAGGCGCTCCGGGAAAGCGCGGAAACGGCTCCGCACGCGCCGCCACACCGCTCCGTTAGCTGACATGAGAGGTTCTTCCTGGCACCTGTGGAGGCCGCCATCTTAGACCCGTCCTCTTCCGGCGTCCATTGCTTGACCATCCTGCGCTTCCGCCCATAATCCTGCCTACTCTTCCTGGTTGGCCAGCATTTCCTGGCCTCTAGCCCTACAACTGGTTTTTAGCTTTGTCTGTCTTTACTTTCAGACTTCAGATTGGTTCAGGCTTAAATTGTTCGCGAAGCCGACCTTAAGGCCCGCCTCCAACTAACGACTGGCTGCTGGAGCCAGAGCCGCACGATGATTGGAGAGTCCGGGCCTGGCGGAAGCGGGCCAGGCCTAGGGGGAGGGGTCATCTGGACCATGGCAGCCTCTCCGCCGCTGCGGGATCGCCTGAGCTTCCTGCACCGGGTGAGTGAGGGCGCCCAGATTCGCCGACGTCCGGGCACCTTACTGGAGCGGCGGGTACGGTTCATCAGCGTGAGAGAAAGGCGAGCCCGCTCCGACCGCGGAAGAACGCGGGACAAGTCACGTTTCGGGGAGGTCCTGGGGCCCGGGGACACGGTGTGGGAGACGAAGCCGCCTCGGGACAGAGGCAGCGGCAGGCCCGTATTAGTACATCTCCAAGAGAAAGGCCGGGGCCTGTTGTCAGCTGCTGGCCAGAACAAACCGTAAAGTCCTTTCAAGTCCTGAAGCCTCAGGGCCGGGGCAGTCCCAGGGAGCTGCTTCAGCAAGCAGGTCTGAACTCCTAGGCCGGGCTCGGGCGGAGTCCTTCCGCCCTCTCTCCGGACCCCCTTCATGGTGTGGTGGGCAAATAGGCGGTGTGTCTGAGTGATGTGTGCCCACTGCCTCTCGGAATACACAGGTGGGTTATGTTTTACCTGTATTCATGACTGTAGGTGCCTGGCATTCACACTGTGTTCTCTGCTCAGGACCTGACACGGTCCCCATACTGTCATTTTAAATATCCTTGAAGCCCTTCCACGGTCTAGATAGTGAAAAACATGAGGACAGGCATTTCCAGTTTTCAACTCCATAAACGGTATCTTTTCCTGACAAGCAGGTAACATAAGCCAACAGTCTGGGCTGATGTGTGAACATAAACCCACAGCTTAATTGTTCTTAAGGAGTTTCAGAGTTAATTGAGCTGAGTTCTGATTCTGCCCATCCATGTTCAGGAGAGCTAGTGTCATAGCCATAGTAGGTATATTAAAGGTACCTTCAAATCACCTTACGATAGGTGCACAGGGCTGGAGCTGTCCCTCATCTTGTCCAGGTAGAGGACCATCACTGATTTTCCTCTCCCTTGGGACCACTTATCACTGATTATTCAGAGAAGACCCTCCTGCAGGTCCCTATGGCCTGTAGGTTGATTCTGGCCCTTTCAAGTCCTGCCCCAGGCCAGCATGTCAACAGTGAGAGCAAGGCCCATTTTTATAACCTTTGATGACTGCAGTCTCACCCTCTGTAAGAAGGTGACTTGTTCTGGCTCTTGTTCCCTTTCAGCTCCCAATTCTTCTGAAGGGAACCTCAGACGATGATGTCCCATGTCCAGGGTACCTGTTTGAAGAGATTGCTAGTATCCTTCCTTGACATCCCCAGTGTGGGCAGAGTGGATGGCAGGGGCCCTGGTGCCGCACCCAGGATTACTGGAGGGTCTGCCTTTCTGTGGGCAGCCACAACTCCTTTATCATAGTAACGTGGTACGCGTGGGGTCTGGAAACTGAGGTACCATGCATTAGGTCCCTTGGATGCAGCCCATCTGCCCCAGTGGCCTGTGGGACAGTGGACAAATTGGAACTACTCATGGTTTAAGGAAAGTGAGCTCAAAGACCTAGGGCTGGGGAAACCCTAGAAACTCCAGTGCTTCTGAAACCAGGCCTGTGTAGGTATCTGCAGGGAGTGTGACCTAAAGAGGTAGATAACACAGGAAGATGGGTTCTCTCCTCAGCCAGCACGCCCTGGTGCGGCCTGCATTAACTTGCTCCTTTCCTAACCCGAGTGCATCCCAGAAATCTCCCATGAGTCAGTGGGCAGCAGCCAGTGCCTGCTGGAATACCTCCTGAACCGCCTGAACAGTAGCTCTGGCCACGTGAAGCTCAAGGTGAGTCCTGGCTGCTGGTCATGCCCCAACTCCTGCCTGTAGGTGTCAAGGGTAGAAGGGAGGGGCATGCAGCCCAGGTGGGTGCCCAGGCCCTGCCCTGAGCCCCACATACATGGTAACTCTTCAGGTGCTGAAGATTTTGCTCTACCTGTGCAGCCATGGCTCCTCGTCCTTCCTGCTCATCCTCAGACGCAACTGTGCTCTCATCCAGGAAGCCACAGGTATGAGCAGCCAGCACAGGTGTGCCAAGGGGATGCCAGGAGCCTTGGATGATAGGAGAATATCATGCAAAGGGGTAAAAGGAAATTTTACAAAAAGGGGTAAAGGGAAATTTTTCTGTGCTGGAGGCCCCCACTGAGGGATTGTCTGGGAAGGAGCTCTCAGCTGTAAAAGGATGAGGTGGAGTAGGCATGCATAGGGGTTCTGTGGTGCTCTGCAGAACATGGAAAGGCCCTGAGGCAGAGAAAGGCTGGGTGTGATTTGATGTGACATAGGAATACCTGATTTTCTTTTTTTTGTTTGTTTGTTTAGGAGCAGGGTTTTTTTTGTTGTTTTGTTTTGTTTTGTTTTGTTTGGTACCTGGAATTGAACTCATGACCTTGTGTTTGCCAGGCAGGCGCTCTGTGGCTAAGCTATGTCCCCACACCCAGGAATACCTGATTTTCTAGGAGTGAAGCTTTTTAGCACAGGCCAAGCCTGGGATAAGCAGGCAGGACCAAGTAGAGCCTTTCAGGCCATGATAGAGACCTGGGTTTACCATCCACCTGTGAACCCTGGTCAATTCACACTGCATCTGGGAAGAAGAGAATGGGCCAGTGGGAGCAGTTAGGTGGATGGTGCCCTAAGTCAGGCAGGATGTGGGGTGGGCAAAAGGGGGTTGCCCAGGGTCTGTTCCATTGTGGCCTGTGCAGGGTCCTGAGAAAGGGGACCCCAGCTAGCTGTGGGTGAGAGGGCAGGGCTCTGGGAGGTGTGGGCCTCAGGAGCTCCCTCTGGGGTGGTCAGCCCAGCCTGCTCCTTTCTGCCTCCTCTGCCTTCAGTTTTTTCAGGTCCCCCAGATCCTCTGCACGGGAACAGCTTGTACCAAAAGGTGCGAGCAGCCGCCCAGGTGAGCCCAGGCCCTCGTCACTCCCAGGGTTCACAGACTTGCCGGATGTCGGTGGAACATTTGCCGTTCTCCCACTGCTGCTGGCCCACAGCTCCGACTGGCGAGGAGGCTCCAGGGAACATTTGGGATGGAGCCAAATGACAAGGCAGGGGTCAAGAAAGCAGCCAGTGGCTCACTGAGCCCCGCCTCCTCCCTCAGGACTTGGGCAGTACCTTGTTCTCTGACACTGTGCCACTGCCTCCCTCCCAGCGTGCCAGGGCCCTGTCCCCCACAGGTAGGAAGCCTTGGTGCTGCTCAGCAGGCCTCCCATTGCTCCCTGCCCTCCAGTCCTGAGTATGGCACACCTGCGGGCGGGGGGGGGGGTGAATATGAATGTGTGGGCAGGGCCAGGGTGGGTGAGTTTGTCTGGGTGGGTCCAGGGTGGTGGCCCCTGCTGAAGCCCAGGTCCTCCTAGGCATGGGCTCCCAGTCCAGGCCTCTCAGCGGCCTCCAGGGTTTTGGTTACAGCAAGGAGCGGGGCCGTGCAGGTAAGGGGGCACCTCTGGACCCAGCATCTGGGGGTGGGAGGAGACCAAGGCAGTTAGCAGGCCTTGCTGCCCACAAGTACTCTCCACTGCCCCCTCCTCTCCCTCCCAAGAGGAGAGCTGCACAGGTGTGGCCAGGTCTGCTTGTGGAAGTCAGGGTTGGCCAGCAGTCCTATGCTGAGGAGTCAAAGGAGGCTGTCCCAGCATGACAGGAACTCAGGATGGGCCCATGTGCAAGCTGTAGTTGAGGGGGTGGCACATTTGGATGTCTGCATCCGTAGGACAAATGAAGCCTTCTTGTTGGAGGTGCACAAAGTGGCCTATAACAGGGACAGAGCCACTTCAGCCATCCCCTGGGCAGGACCTCAGGCCGTGCCCAGCTGTGTGCTGTGAGACTGTGTAACAGATTGTCCTGCTCATGATCCTGCCTGTGGCTCGCACTTTAACCTGGAGGGTACCTTTTGCAGGGAGCTCACACTGGCAAGCACAGCCCTTCCCAGCACTGGAATGAGCACCCCTTAAGTGAAGGACAGCCCCTTGGGACACCCCTACCAGAGGCCTCTGCTCTGTATATGCAGCATATATCCCTGCCTCGCCAGCCCTGAGCAAGGAGCAGTCCTGGCACTGCCATCCTCGGAAATTTGGGGCAGGTGGGAGTGGTTCCGGAGCGCTGGCCCCATGCCCCTTCTCCTGGGCACAGGCTCTGCAGGTGAAGCCTTCCTCTCCACCATCCAGAGGGCCGCAGAGGTGGTGGTTAATGCCATGCACCCTGGGCCTGAGAATTCCTGGACCCAGAGGCCTCTGCCACAAGGTGACACTTACCAGCCTGCCATGACACCTTCAGGCAGCCACAGCCACCCCGCCTTTGGGAATCAGCTTCCTGGGGCCATCCCAGGTGCTCGAGGTATTGAGGGGGGCTCTGGGTCAACCCCTCCTGTCATTTGCTGGAACCCTGGGTTTTAGGGGCTTGTAGACAAATAACCACAGGGCAGGAGACATAGGCCCTAGCTTAGGCAGGTGTGGATGAGGGTGGAGCAGGGAGTGGGATGCTTGTTGGCTGGGTTATACCTGCCTGGAGTTTTCTGCAGCTGCTATCCAGGCAGCTGCCCCATCCTCAGTTTTGGTCACAGAAGACCTGGGGAGAGGGGTGTGAGGATGACCAGAAGTCCCTGAGGGTCTCAGCTGCCATCCCTGTCTCTTCCAGCTGTGAGGCACCAGCCAGGGCAGGCTGGAGGGGGCTGGGATGAACTGGACAGCAGCCCTGGCTCCCAGAGCTCCTCCCGGAACAGTGACCGGAGCCGGGCCTCAGACTCAGGCAGTCGTTCAGGCAGCGATAGCCTCTCAGGGGCCAGCCGGGAGCCAGGTGACCTGGCAGAAAGGTGAGTGGAGCAGCCTGCACCTGAGGAGGGGCCTTCCGGCTAGGCTTCCACCCTCCAGGCTCACCCCAGTGCAGGGAGGGAGGAGGCCGGCCCAGCCCTCCACCAAGGATGGAGCTGCCCTGACCCAGCCGTGCCCTTGCCAGGGCCGAAGCCATGGCCCTGAGTGACTGCCAGCAGGAGTTGAGCCTGGTGAGGACTGTGACGCAGGGACCCCGTGCCTTCCTGAGCCGTGAGGAGGCCCAGCACTTCATAAAAGAGTGAGTGACCCCCCCAGTTCTACCCGCCTCACGGAGAGAGGAAACACATGACACCCCACCTGCATATCCTTTCGTTTGGCAGGTGCGGGCTGCTCAACTGTGAGGCAGTGCTGGAGCTGCTCCTGTGCCAGCTGGGCACAGCCAGTGAGCTAGAGCAGATGGTGAGGGCATCATGAGGCCGAGTGTGTGGGGGTGGAGGGGCCAACCAGACACCTCCTGTACTAGGTACAGAGGAGCAGAGGAGGAGGGGTCAATGGAGGGGCCCCTGACAGGCTTTGCTGCCCCACAGGCTTGGAGTGGTGCCTAGGACTGATTCCTATCCCTTCCATACCCACAGAGGGCCCTGTGCGCCATCGCCTCCCTTGGTTCCACTGACCTCCTTCCCCAGGAGCACATCCTCCTCCTCTCTCGGAGGTGGCTGCAGGAGCTCAGCATGGGCAGCCCAGGACCTGTGACCAGCAAGGCTACCAAGGTGGGCAGCAGTTGGAGCCACAGGTGCACGGGGCCCCAGCGAGTCATGGGGCTGCTGCAGCGGTCCTCACCTGCCATGGGCAGCCTGTGTCCAAAGTACTCCCCTGGCACTGCCCAGCAGGCTGTGCCAACAGAGAGAGAGTCCAGGGCTGGGGCCTGCCTGCCCTGGGCTTCTCTAGCTCCTGGAACCCCTAAGCCCACTCCACCCAGTACTGCCTGCTCCCCCAGCCAGCGGTTTCCTCACTCTTGAGGACAGCCTGTGGCTGTCCTTCCTCTCCTTGACCAGCTCCATGTGAACAGAAATCTCTCCTTTCATCTGTTGCCACTTCCTTAGACCCTCTACGTGTCTGGGAGCCTCTCCATCCACCCGCTGCCATCCCCAGCTTCTTTCTTCCCATTTTCTCTGTGGCTGCTAAAAACTAGCTCCCTTGCTTCTGGTCTTCCTTGCTGCCCTGCCTCATGTGATCTCTGCCCTATCCGTGCCTTGCCCTCAGTCCTGGTCCAGTGAGCCTGCGGTGCTTGGGGCCATAGGGAGCCTCATGTCAGCACTAGGAGGGACTGTCTGTGTCAGGTTGCACTGGCTTCCTCCGCTCCCTTCCCCAGGGCCTGGAAGTTGACAAGGATGGGAACGTATGTCTGTACAGAAATATCATGTGCCCTGCGTTTTGATATTTTGACATTACAAGGCCAGCAGCAGGTGACCACGGCCTCCCCAAACTGGCCTTGCCTCTGGGCAGTGGACTAAGGAGGGACCTAGAAAAGCTCAGGCCTCAGGCTGTGACCCCAGGAGCTGCGCAGAAGCCCTCACCACTTCCACTTTTCTTTCAGATCCTAAGGCACTTCGAAGCCTCCTGTGGACAGCGTCCCCTAGCCCCAAAGCCCTGTGCAGAGTCCAGCCCCGCAGCCACCCTCGAGGGCCCGTCTGACCTGCTGACTGGCCCTGTGCCTCCCTCTGGGGCCCAGGTCTTCCTCCAGCCTCTGAGCTCCACTCCCGTTTTGCCGGGTAGCCCTGCACCCACCCCAGCTCCAGACACCAGCCCCCTCCCAACCCCTGGTCTCAACCTTGCTGAGACCCCACCAGCAGCTTCCAGAGAGCAGGGGGCACAGTCTGGGCAGGGCTTAGGGGACACGGACACCCCAGGAGGTGGTCCTAGCCACTGCCCATGGAGCCGTGACTCCTTGTTTGCTGGCATGGAGTTGGTGGCCTGCCCCCGCCTGGTTGGGGTTCAGGCCACAGCAGAGGAGCCCAACCGGGGCCCCCATATCCCCCAAACATGGGCTGAAAGGGCGGCAGCCACAGAGCCTCCAGGCCCAGAGTTGTCAGCCTTTGCCTTCTTAAACAAGTGACCACATAGGGCTGGCTACATACAGGGGTCTCCTTGTCTTTAGCTGGTGGCTCCCAGGACCTCATGGCCTCCTGCTGGCAGCCACCTACCCCAACCCCTCCATTTACCCTTTAGCCACTAAGGTGTGGGTGCCCGTGCTGAGCAGGCCCCCCCAGCAGTTGGCACGGTCACTGATGGACCCAAGTGTCGCTCAGGATGCTGGAGACCAGCCAGCACAGGATGCAGTTGCAAAGAAGGGGCTTGGTCTGTGCCCTCAAAGTCATCTCATGTACACTGCGCCTCAAGGACAGCTCCCCGACCATGTGAGCATGATGGGGCTTCCTCTTCATGCGAGGGGCAGGACCCACACAGGCCCCTCTCGGGGGACTGCCTGTGGCTGGGGCCAACCTGACCACTGCAGAGGTTTCCAGCTTTCACTGGTGCATCTGCAGGGCCCGCATTCCTGAGGGTCGAGCCCTCAGCTCTCAATGCTTGGTGTCTGGCTCACCTGCCCCAGAGCCCCTTAGTTCCTGTTCATCAACCCCACCCCCCATCTGCTTTGCCAGAGGCTATCTGTGGGGACTTGAGTTCTGACAGGCAGGTGGCAGGGCTCAGAAGCATAACTTGGGAACCCAGGGCAACCCTTACCCACCATGGCCTTGGGCATGGTGCTGGTATGGGTTTAGAGGGTTCTTGATCTCAGACCCTTCCTTCCCCAGGATGTCTCAGCATCTGGAGCTGCCATGGTGGGGGTAGGTGGCAGAGGTGGTTTTGTGCCTGGGGCTGGTGTTCTGTGGCCTGTGGCCTTCTTGAGTTCAGTCCCTGCAGCATCTGGCAGTGCACCTACAGGGGTGGGGTATGAAACACTGACCCTCGGGAGATCTGGAAGGAACTCTGGGATGTACACTCTGAATAAACACTACTGTTTACTTGAAGCTGGAACACTGCTTGTTTTGTCTCCCTTTGTACAGGTGAATTTTAATGGAAATACCACTATGAAAGGGGAACACTTAAAGGATGGCTTGCAGGAGGGCCAGGTGTTACTCTTCAAATTTTGGTAGAACTCCCCTGCTGGACGCTGTCCACAGGAGGCTTCGAAGTTCTGTCTTTACAGTTAACCTCTGTGGCAGAGAAAACCTCCAATCTTGGTGGTGGTGGTTACTCAGTGGGTGTCCTGGATGAGGGACAGTGAATGTGCCCTACATGGTGAATGACATCAGTTCTTCCCTATTCACACATCTAAGGTTTAAGGCGATCCCCATCAAGGCTTAGCTGGATTTTGTTTCTTTTTCATGGCTAGAGATGGATTGTTAGACAAGTGTTCCAGCCCCTCAGTGAGATTTTTTTTTGTGTGTGTGTGTGTGACAGGGCCTCATTATGCAGCCCAGGCTGGCTTCAAACTCACAGTGGTCCTCCTGCCTCAGCCTCTCAAGTGCTGGAATTACAGGTGTGTTCTGCCACGCCTGGCTGGATTTTTTATATAGTGAGAAGCTGATACTAAAAGTTTTAGGAGAAGTTGAGTCAAGAGTAGCCAGATAATTTTGAAAAAGAACAAATAACCAGATTTCAAGATTTGCTATATAGCTGCGTAGTTAAGACTGGTGTTGGTAAAAAGTTAAAGATTCATACTGCAGATCAACCGAGCAGCAGACAGTTGAGAAAGACCACACAAATATGGTCAGCTGATTTTCTACAAAGATGCAAAAGTGATTCACTGAAGAAGGGGTAGCCTTTTAAGAGCAAGGGCTGGAATAATTGGAAAAATCTTGGCCTATACCTCACGCCCTACACAAAATGATGTGAGTCATGGACCTAAACACAATACCTAAAACTATCAAACTTACAGAAGAAAAGGAAGAAAAGTTTCCATCACTGGGTTAGGTAATGGCCTTATACATTAGATTTTAGAAAGCACAAACCAGTTAGGCATGGTGGTACACATCTACAATCCTAGCACCCTAGGAGACCGAGGCAGGAGAATCACAAGTTTGAGCCCAACCTGGGTAATTTAGTGATTTAGCAAGAACTCATGCCCAAAAATAAGCAGGCATGGCAGCACATGCTTTGTAATCCCAGGACTCTGGAGGCTGAGGCAGAGGAGGATCACCCGGAGTTCAAGGCCAGCCTGAACTACACAGTAAGACCTTATCTTAAAAAAAAAAAAAAATTACAAAGAGCTGGCGGTTTAGCTCAGTTTGAAGGCCCTGGGCGCAGTCTCTAGCACCTGAGAGGAGTGGAAGCCCTGAGGATACCAAGGGGTGACTAGGGGAATGGGGAGAGACTAGAATTCAAACAATTCTGAGGGGAGTGTAACATACAAGTCTGGAAAACAGTTTGGCAGTTTCTTATAAGGTTGAATAAATACCACATGAGCCAGCAATCGCACTCATAGGTGTTTATCCAGAGAAATGTCCTGCGCTCAAACCAAGCCCCTAAGTGGACGTCCACAGCTTGAGCTGTCATTGCTCAAAGCTGGAGCAATGTGCTGCACCTGTAGCTTGAAATACTTCTCCCGGGAATGCAGATAAATTTCAAAGTATCAGCCAAGGCCACGCTTGCGGAGGCTGGGGCCAGACCAGGGGTAGGCAGAGGGCTGGGCAAGCTTGGCGACAGCGAGGCTACTCAGGGGGTCGGGTGGAGGTGGCAGTGTTCTCCATGTAGATTATGGCGTTGTTTTATACAACTGCACACCCGAAAATGTGAACTTCACTATATCTAAAGCAAACTTTTTCATTAAAAAAATAAAACGGGAACAGGCAGCACTGTTATTTTACTATAACGTTTGCTGGAAGACCATCTAAGCTGGGGGGGGGGCTGCTCTCTAGGCAGAGGGAGGACAGCCCACAGCGGGTTGGGGGCTCTGGACACCCGCTGCAGGTGGACAAACTCTCGGGAGGAGACCTCTGGAGCCCAGCCGTGGGAGTCACCCGGAGTCCAGTCGGCCCGGGCCGCAGTCCGAGGCCCAGCTCCCGCCGCGAGTACCGGCCTACGCGTTGCGCCCGCCCGCTTCCAGCGGCGTCCAATCGGCGGTCCGAGGCGTTCGCTGCCCTCTGCTCTCCGCCGCTCCTCCCCCGCTTGAACGTCCCGAAAGACAGCCAAGCAGCCCAATGAGCTCGCGAGGCGGCCAGAGCGGGCGGCCGGAGGGCCAATCCGAAAGTGGCGCGCTCAGGGAAGGCGGGCCAGTGTGACGGACAAGGAGGTGGTGCCAGGCTGGTTGCTAGCCGCCGGTGCGAGCCAGCTCCGCTGCCCCGCGCCTCATTGTCAGCCTCCCGGGAGGCATCGCCGAGGGCCGTGGGGGACCAGGTCGCAGACCTGGCCGAGTCGCCCGGCCCGGTTCTCTAAGGGTTCCCTGGCAGGTGAGGGGGAGTCCACGCAGCTCTGGGTGTTCGGCGCGGTGAGGAGGTCCCCACGGGTGAGAAGGGGATGGTCCGCGCAGGTGAGGCAGGCAGGCCCTGCAGGGGAGGAGGGGCTCGTGTCCCAGGATGGCGGGACGTGGGGTCCAGTCTGTTGTCTCAGGACCCCTGCCCTAAGCCCGGGGCGTGGGGACTGAGGAGGTGGGAGCTGCGACGAGGGAAGCAGAGGACGCCCCGCTGCAGTGGGCCCTGCCTCTGGCATCCCTGGGGTCAGCTCAGCCCTGCAGGGCCAGGCAGCCCTTTCCCCTTCAAGTCCTTCAAGGGACACCTCATCCAGGGGGCCTGGCCTCCCAGGGCTCCTTCTTGCGCATGGAGGTTTCTATGGAGAAGCTCTTTACCACCCCAGAACCCCCTCCTGCACGTGTGGTGGGAAAGCCACACATCCCCAAACTCCAGAGCCAGCTTGGTCCAGGTGTCAGATTTCACCGGAAAAACCGGAAATGTAGCAGTGGACGCTGGCCAGACTACTGGCTGTGCAGCCTCTAGAGAATAGGCTCTGCCTCCCAGGCCAGCAGGCTGCTGAGGTGGCCGGCCAGGGCAGCACTGATGATGGACATGTGCTGGTGGCTGGCCCAGACTCTGGCAGGGAGACTGCATTCACTTTGGGTTTCGCTTGTGTCCTCACTCGCTCAGTACTCACCTCCTGAGTGCCTGCCATCTGAGGTGTGGGGGCTCCATGCTCACTGTCTCTTGTGTCCCAGTATGGAGACACATAAAGCAAGACAACAGAAGGGAGAGAGCTGGGTGGTGGCCAGGAAGAGGGGAGTCCTGAGGCCGAGGGGCCAGCAGGCACAGAGGTGCTCTGGGACAAGCTGGCTGAGCTGAGTTGCAGCAGAGCAAGGGAGTCACAGAGAGCAGGTTCTGATCTGTGGGTGTTAGATGCTTTGGCTTTATTCCTTGAGCCTGGGGCCTGACTGGAGCTAGGAACAGTGTTTTGGCCTGTGAGGTCGAATGGGAGCCAGCTAGAGGCAGGAGAAGAGCGATTGCCCAAGGTGAGTTGGTGGCTGGACCAGGGTTGTGGTGCAGAGGAAGCCAGGAGGCCAGAGGTAGTCCCCAGGTGAGAGGGTGGACAGAGGAGAGAGGCTGGGACTGAGCCCTGGTGGCCTCCACCTGTCAGGGAGGCAGCAGGGTGGCCTTCACAAGAAGCAGGGTAGAATCAGAGAGGTCGACATATCCCAGGAGGTCGTACATGTTTCAGGGGTTCTGAGGCAATGCAGGGGTAGCACTGGGGTTTCTGTGGCCAGGTAAGCCTGGGAACCTGGGGTATCTTTACTGTGGAACTTCTGAGCCCAAATCATGCCGAACAACACTATTTTGAGCACTTACCAGGTGCCAGCCTCGTGGTCGTATCTTGTCTGAACCTCATGACAGCCCCTATGGAGAAACTTTATTCATTTATTTTACAGTACTGGGGATTGAACCCAGGGCCTTTGCGCTGAACTGCATTCCTAGCCTCTTTTTATATTATTTTTCTTAATTATTATTGAAGTCCCTGACTTACATTTGTAAGTTCGTAAGTTAAGCTGCAGTATTTCACAGGTGTACTATATAAGACTCACTTTGTCGGTTTACAAATAAATTCAGCTTATGAACAATTCTCTCGTAATGGAACTCTTTGTCAGTTGGGGTATATATATATATTTTTTTCTTTTTTGTGTGTGAGGGGTTGAGACAGGGTCTCACTATGTAGTCTGGGCTGGCCTTGAACTCACTATGTAGCTCAGACTAGCCTCAAACTCACAGCAATCCTCTTGTCTCAGCTTCCCAAGTGCTGGGATTACAGGCAGGCATAGAGGTGCACCACCACGCCTGGCTCATATATATAAAGTTTTTGAGACAATCTTACTAATTTGCTCAGGCTAAGCTTGAACTTTGGATCTTCCAGCTTCAGCCTCCCAGAGTGCTAGGATTACAGGCCTGCACCACCACTCCTGGCCCCAGATACACTTTTTAACCCCCTGTTTTATAGGAGAAAGCTGTCTAGACAGGTGGAGTTACTGACTCAGGGTCATGAAGGTGGGACTGAAGGGCAGAGCCTGCCCATACCCACAACTGCTTGCTGCCCCTGGCCATCCTGTGAAATGCTGGCCTGTGCCTGTGATAACAGCTTCCATGGGCCCTCTGCTCATCCTCAGAGCCCTCCTTCCCAGCCCCACATCCATGAGGGGTTAGAATGACCTGTTGTAGGGGCCTAACCCCCATGAGGTGAGCATGTGGATGGTGGCAGGTGGCCCTGTCCTTGGGTGTCTAAGGCTCTGCCACGTGTGGCAGATGCAGGGGCCTTTGGTTCCTCCACTTTATCTCTCACTTCCTTTCAGGGCCCGCTGTCTACCATGAAAAGCTCCAGGGTCGTCAGAAGCGCCCCTGAAGGCAGCCCTGAATGTGCAGACCTGAGTCTGACTGGACTTCCTCCGCCACTGTCCCGGCGCCCCAGCAGCGCTTCAACTACTAAGCCCTTCGTGCGGTCTGTCTCTGTGGCTGCAGGCAGCGAGCCCAAGAGGAAGGCGCTGGTGAGTGCAGGGGCCAGGGTGGATGAGTCCTGGGTCCTCTGGCCTTAGAGGGTTGTCATCGGTGGCATCTGGCTTTAGGGACAGTTCTCTAAAGCCTGACTGACTCTCAAAGAGTTGAGGCAGAGCCCGTCCCCCACCCAGCACCAGCCTGTGCTCCTGCTCTGTGGCTCTCTGGCTTTGCCTGGAGCCTCAAGAAATGGGATTGACCTGTGGGGTGGGGTTGATGCACTCGGCTTGGGTGACAGTGGGGTGCAGGTGGGTTGGGTGAGAGCCGCCTTCCTTCTTCTTGTTCATCTCTGCAGGGCAGGTGAAGGGGTTGCCACTGATGGGTGAAAGTGGCTTTGAGAGACCAGGGAGGTCCATCATGCTGCCTGAGCTGCTGTGCCCCGGGGGTGGGGAAGAATGAGTGCTCTGGAGGTTCTGTGCTCCCAGGCTGACCTCAGCTTCTGGAATAGCCAGGGCCTGGAGGCTTAGCTCCGATGCACTGGCCCCAGGCTCCCTGCATCGAAAGGGCTGAGGTCTGTGCAGAGGTCATAGCAGGGGAGCAAGCAGCCATATACAAGGGACATGAAGGCTTGCCTGATGGGTACAGGCTGAGGTTCCTCTGTGGGTAAAAGGCTCATCTCATTCCCGTGTCAGACAGGCTGGGTGGGGCCTGCTGGTGTCAATCTGAGTTCTAGGCAAGGACAGTGCCCAGTAGAGGACCTTTCGTCCAAACAAGTTCCTAAATTGTGTGACCTGTAAAGCAGGGACCTGGGACATCCTGCCAGGTCATTTACTGTTGTGTTAATATTACCCCTTAGTTATTCCAGACTGATCAAGCCTGCAATCTCTCAAATGAGTGGACAGCAAAGGCTTAAATAAATGAGACAAATGGAATGAGGTTTGAAACCCACTATCAGAATTCCAGATTCTCTGGGGCTAAGACCAAGAACTTCTCTGGGCAGCCCGTATTTATTATTCATTCAGTTTTCAAACAAAGGAAAGGGATACTTAAGAAAACTCCAGCATTTTAGCAGGACCTTGGGAAATATTTTCCCAAGTAGTAAATTACGTCAATCAGGAGAACTACTTTATCTTTAGGTTGACCTTTATTGTAGGAGTGTGGAGCCTGCAGCTGCAGTCTCCTCTTAGCTTTGGTCTTGGGTCACTGAACTGCTTTTGAAGCCTTAGGAGGAGGCCTGGGGCTGGGATGATGCAGGGAGCACTGCAGATCCATTTCCACAGGGACAGTATTGGAAGGTTGTGGGGCCTGCTAGCGGTCAGTGAAGATGGTCACTCAGCTGTGTGCTCAGGCTACACCTGTGGCTGCCCAGGCACCTGACCATCTCTTCTACTTCCTGTGGGAAAATGTTCTCTTCCTAATCACTCATTCAAAGCCAAAGCGAGCTTCTTCTGGCTGGTACCTTCCATGCCCCTAGTGTTGAGTGGGGAGTGAACAAGTCCCACCCTTGAAGAAATGCTTGTGCCATTCATTCCTGTAAGGAACTCCCTCCCTCTGAGATGGCCCCATCCTGGCCTACCTGGCGGGGTCTGAGCATTGTTCCTAGCAGTCGTTGTCCTCCTGGTCATACATTGTCACTGCCACTGGGGTTTGTAGGCAGCATTTGCTTTGACCAGGCCATGATATCAACCCTGACACAGGCATGAGGACTCTTTTCCTGGTTTTTGTGAGGCTGTGGAGGGCCCTGGTTTTTGTGGGGCATTCTCCACAGCTGTCAGCCTGATGCTTCTACTCGGCCCTTTGTCTCCAGCCCGGAACCTCTGCCCCGAGCTCCTCATCTGGGGTGTGAGCTGCAGTCACTACTGCTCATCTGGCTCAGGTGACACTGGCAGAAGACCCAGAGCATCCTCTTCCCTGCTGCAGCTCTGTGGCCGTGTGGTCACATTGTGCTCTGCATCACTCCAGTTCCTTTCCCTGTAGGGGAACAAGGTCTTTACATCTCAAGAGTCAGAGTGTGTTGATAGAGCAGGTGTCACCACATCTGTGTCACAACCATGCAGCAGCTCTGTCCCTAGGCAGCATCCTGCACTCGGGCTGTTGATGCTCTGCCCTGTGTACAGGTGTTTAGTGTTTTTTGGTTTTGGTTTTTTAGCATGTTTGCAGTACATAATAATTACATTCATTGTGGGGAGCTGAGTATATGCACATAACACATCTTTTTACTTCTCCTTCCCTTCCCTCCCACCTTCCTCCGGTTTTTGGTCCCCTACCCATGAGTTTGGGGTCCTTAGCCCATGACTTTATTTACCTTTTGAGAACTTCCCTTCCACCTTGGTACTTTTGACTGACCTCAAGATGTTCCTCCTCCCTGACATTTGTTGTTCTCAGCATTTGTTGTTCTCAGCTGTTCTCAGCTGCTGCCAGGAAGATGGAGAAAAGGTGATAGTGACCCCCAGTCTATCGCCCTGACACAGTGGCCAGCACTGTTTTGTTTCAGAAATTCTCCATGTGCTGTTTTTGAGTGGGTCACACGCACCCCCTATTTAAATGCAGAGCTTGCAGGAAAGATGCATGTCTGGTGGGCCATCATTTTGTGTTTTGAGTAATTCTTTACTTTCTGGCGCCACAAGCTACTTAACCTTATCTGTGTGTTTCCCCACTCCAGTCCTGAATCAGGCCATTTCTCCAGGTAGCCCTGATCCCTGCTACTGGAGAGTGCTGTTAGACTGAGATCTAGGAGCTGGGCCCTCCACCGTGTGTGTGTGTGTGTGTGTGTGTGTGTGTGTGTGTGTGTGTGTGTCCATGAATTACTGTTTCGCTGTGTCTTCATCTGTACCTGTGTTAAGGTATACCATGAGTTTCTGATGAGGTATCCCACACCACCTGGACAGGTGTCACCTCTCCCCTTGCTCATCTGTGGCACCGTAAGTTGAGGACCTGAACCCTCTGTCTTCCCTCAGATCCTGGTTCATTTCCAGTGAATGAGTAAGGTGCTGTCAGGATTGGTGGCCTGGGCTGCAGGAACAACCTCATCAGTGGAGCCAGCACCTTATCAGCTCCTCTGTCCTCCTCTGCCAGGCTCCACACAAGCTGTTGTCACGCGGGCCATGCCATTGTCACATGGACCTGCCTGGTGCCTTCTGCCTCTACAGCACTCTGCCTACATTCCCCTGAGAGTGAGCTGGATGGATTTTCATGTGTTTAAGAGCTGTTTATCTTCTCTTCTCTATGGACTATTCTTATCCTTTGCTGACTTTTCTGTTTTTTTTCCTGTGGTTTGTGGTTTGTATCACGAATGAAGCTGAGTTCCCAAGTGTTTTCTTGTGGTGTCATTCTGTCCTTTGTTTAGGTCTCCTTGCAGCCATGCAGAAGAGTGTCGTCCTCCGACCCCCCATGACAGCCCCAGCTGCACTCAGCAGCGGCCGATTGTGTTGCTTCTCTGTGCTCACCAAGCATCCTCCTCCAGGGCCGGACCGCAGGCTACACCAGCTGCTCCACGGCAAAGCACGGCCTCAGGAGGGTTGCCTGAGTCAGAGGCTACACAGTGCCCGTAGCCACTCTCGTGTTTGTCACCAGCAGCCTATTTGGGGGTCCCCAAGACCACCCTTTCATTCAGTAATTTTCTAGAAGGGCCCCCAGGCTGATGAGAGCTGACATAGTGACAGTTTATTATAGGAAAAGAATTCAGATTAAGCAGCCCAGAGAACGACAGTCCAGGAGGGTCAGACACGGAGCCTCCATTGCCCTCTCCCATCATGTGGGGACAGACTTACTTTTCTGGCACTGATGGTGACAACATGCGCAGAGCATTGCCAGCGCAGGCGCCCCTCAACCATGGTGTACAGGGTCCTCAGGGTCTCCACTGCAGCTGGTGCAGCCCGCGGTCTGGCCCTGGAGGAGGACGCTTGGTGAGCACAGAGAAGCAACGCAGTGGCTGACTGGTCTTTAGCCCTGCAGGTCCACTGATAGCCCTGGGACAAGCCCCATCCCACACCACCTCCCTGCTAGGGCTCTAACCCTACACTGTAAGTCACGTGGTTGACCAGAGGGTGGCCCCAGGCCGCCAGTAAACCAAGGCATTTTGATCAGGCAGGATATTCAGGGAGCTTAGTAGTCACCTCCTAGAAACCCAGGGCAAAGGGCTGGTCCTCACCACATAGATGCCATCCTCTCTGGTACCCTTTCAGTGCCTGGCCTGAGGTCCCTAGTGGTCTAGCTGGGACATTCACAAAAACTGACTGAGCCTTGGCATCCCCGGCCAAGGGACCTGGCAGCTGCCTCTGGTATTGCACATTCGATGGTCTTTAAGTGTTCAGTTCTTTGCAGCCTGGTCGGAAAGCATGGGTTCCTCCTAGAAAAGTGGGCACTCTTAACCTGTGTCACTTCAGTGCCCTCATCCGCAGTGCTTTCTCCCAACCTGCCATTTCCCTACTTAAAAAAACAGTGTCATGCTGGGTGTGGTGGCGCTCGCCTGTAATTCTAGCACTCCGGAGGCTGAGGCAGGAGGATTGCCGTGAGTTTGAGGCCATACTGGGTGGATGACAGAAAACCAAAAATAAAGAAAGAAAACAATTTCATGATGTGGGGAAAGGCCCATGGCAAATTGTAGTGTGATTGCATGTTTCCTGATTTTCTTGTTTTGTCTTATTTTGGTTGGATTGTTAGTTTTTAGTTTAAGGATTCAGGTTTTAAAATACCTGAAGAATTTTAAGCCTGTAGGTTTGTTTTCTGGGTCTCAAGGCCTCACTGTTTTGGGGTGGGCACTGGCCAGGTCACATCTCACAGTGTAAGCTGCTGTGTGGCATGCAGTACGGGACCCCCAGGATGCCCTGCTGGATTTTGAGCCCTTTTCCCCAAAGTATTTCATTTGGAAGATTTTTAAGCCTACAGAAAAGTTGGAAGCATAGTACAGCGTGTGCCCGTGAGCTGCTGTGGGGTCCACTGACAGCCTCCACCCAGGTGCAAGCAAGCTGTGGATGGCATGGGCTGTCTCCTAAGTCCACCATTCCTCTTCCCTAGGAAGTGGGCTTTCTCCAGGGACACCCTGTGACTCCACAGAGGCATCTGACACATGCTCATCCCTTCCTCCGCCACTCCCAAACATCCTTTCTCCACCTAGGACCCCAGAGGATTCACACGTTGATCAGCACCTTTGTTGTTTCCAAGACACTAACTTTGTGAGCATGCAGGCTGCTGGTGTCTGGGGTGAGGGAGGTGCCTTCCGCTCTGCCACTGTGGGCCCACAGTGCCCTTGTCTCTACATTCACCCCCACAGTGACCCCAGAACACACTGGGTCGTACTCTCCCCTAACAGGGGAAGACTGAAGGCCGAATGGCTGGGTACTCTCTTCTTGCCATTCCCGGAGCTCACTGTGACAATGGTGGCACTGAGGAACAGCTCCTGGCCAACCACGAAGCCTCCCATTCTGCAAGCGTGGACAACTCTACCTTAGGCAGGAAATTGAGGTGTCAGTTCCAGGGCCCTCCGCTACCTGTGACCATGCCCCCACACTGGCCCCTGGTCCTGTGTCCCTACTTGCTGTCACCCCTCTGTTCTCCTAACCCATCTCTCCAGGGCCTAGCCTGGTGCCGAGGCAGCAGATGAGTAATACCTTTGCCATTGAATGGGCTGCTTTCTCCCTTTCTGCAGGAGGCTGCAGGGCCGGGGAGCTCCAGGACCATCAACAACCTTCGAAGATCTAACAGTACCACACAGGTCAACCAGCCCTGGACTGGCTCTCCCAGGTAATCTTTGTCTCCCTCAGGGAGCCTCGGGCCTCTGGAAGCACCACCCAGCAGGTGGTTGTGCCCCTAGGGCAGCACCGCCCTTCAACTCCTCATGCTCCTCCTGCCTCTCCCTGGGCCCTTCCAGTTCTGTCAGTGGTGGCCCTTGTAGAGCATTGGACTTGGGGTGACCTTTCTGTAGCCCAGCCCTTGGGTCCTACTCTTTCCTCTTGAGCCAGGAGGACCAGGGAGGCCATGCGCAGCCAGCCTTTCCTGTCCCATCTTCAGGACACTGGAGCCAGGCCCTGAGACAGATTTTGGACCTGTGGCCTCTGCCTCTACTGCTGGGCACATTGGGCACACGGGGAGACCTGCTTGGGCCTTCATTTGCAGTCCTCCGGCTGTGGCCATGTCCTTGCCCTTCAGACATCCAGACTTGTTCCCTGAAGGAGGTGGGGCATTGAGTCAGTTCTGAATCCTCCATGCCCCCATCCCTGTCCGTGAAAGTTAATCAGCCATCCTCCCCTGGGGGCTCCAGGGCAGGGAGGGTGGGAGCTGCCTTGGGGCCCCTGTGCCAGTGTGAGTGTTGGAGTAGACACTGCTGGGCTGATTGGGCCCATTCTCACAGGCCTTGTCCCTGCGCAGGCAGGGCTCCTTGGGGTGCAGATCTGTAGATGGTTTAAGTTCTGGGCCAGTCAAGGAGCCGACTCTCCCCAGAGGAGCAGGAGCAGTGCCGCCCACCCATCAGCAAGACTGCTCCCAAGCCTCCAGGGCCTAGAGCTGTGCAGGGGATGGCCTGGGACCTTGCTGACATAGTGTGTGTCCCCCCAGGATGTCCACCCTGCCCTGTGGCAGTGGCTGAAGGTGCAGGACTCACCAGAGTGGGTGGCAGCAGCCACACAGTGTCAGTGCTGGGGGTGATATGGCATGGTGTATGTACATGTGTGGTGTGTGTCTGTGCTGTTTGTGTGGATGGTGTGTGTGTTGTGAGTCCGTGGAGTGTGTGTGTGTGCATGGTATGTGGTGTGTTTATATGTATGGTATGTGTATGAGTAGTGTGTATAGTGTGTATTTGTGTTGTATGTGTACATGTATGTGACATGCATGGTGTTTATCATGTGTATGTGATGTGTGTGCTATGTGTAGTGTGTAGGGTGTGTGTAATTTGTAGGGTATGCCATGCGTGGTATGTGTGGTGTATATGCTATGTCCACGGTATGTGTGGTGTATGTGTGTGTGCGTGGTTGTGCAGCATGGCTGCTCTGTTTGAAGAACGTCCGGGGAGCACTGTCCTAGGCTCTCCCTGGCTCTAGGTTGGAAGGGGTCTGGCTGTGTTAGCAGTTGAAGTCCCAGCATTTTTACTGCATAATCCATCTTTTCACCTGGACCTGGCCACCTCTGCCTTTGTGTAGAGCCAGGACCATGTGTGGGGCTGGACCGGGCCCCTGGCTCCTGTCCCTTGTCCTGTGTATGGTGCTCTTTAAGCTGGTGGCTATTAGGGAATGAGCTGTGCCAGTTCTTCATAATCCTGGGGCTTCTTGTTCCCCGTGCTTTGATATGAGCTTCGATGATCTGGAGTTTCTCTGGCGCTAACCTTATGGGGTTTCTATCAGGGGTGGCGGGGACTTGCAGGTATCCCATTTGGGATCTATTTGGCCCTGAGGGTCTGCCCTGCCCTGGACCTTGTTGGAGGATTCAGGTGGTCTCTCTTAGGTCCCAGTTTTTCCCATGATGGAGGGTCTTGCTTGTTTTTGCTGGATATAGCCCTGGAACCCTCCAGTTCCCTGCTGTTGCGAATGGTCTTCTTCCCTGGCCTGTATTCTGTGGGGTCCTTGCTAATGGTTAGGAGCGCTCATGATTTGGGCCTTGTTCATTGAGTCTCTCACATTTTTCATGTGGATGATCACATTATCCACAAATAAGGATGCTGCCTCTTCTCTTTTAATTCTTTTTTCATCCCCTCCCCAGCAGGAGAGGAGTGGGGTTTGTTTGGGATAATACCTACCCCTCTTCGAGCACCCCTGAGGAGGTCCTGTCAAGTTTGCTGGGATCCGTTTTGTTTATATATATTCTGGGGGCCTTTCCGTATGTCCGTCTCCTCCTAAGGCTTGTCAGTGTGGAGGTGCTGTCTGGGGTGGAATAGCCTCCTCAGAGGTGGCCAACACTCTGCACTGGCCAGCATGGCTGTCTTGGTGACAATGTTCCTGGGCTAGGAACAGACATTGTAGGCAGCCAGGGACCATGTCAGAGTTGGGAGCCTCCCCAGAGGTTTTGAGCTGCTGCCTGCCAGCACTGCCTTATCGAGACCTGCCAAGCCAGCTGACTGCCACCGTCCCTGCCTTTCCCCTACAGAGCACAGTGATGACATACTTCAGAGCGGAGGGCGCCTCACCTGCCTTCCTTTCAAAAAATTGGTGCTGGGGCTTGAACCTAGAGTGCTGAGCTACGTCCCAGACCCTTTAAAAAAATATTTATTTATTTGTTGTAGTACTGGGAACTGAACTCAAGGGCGCTCTACACTGGGCTATACCTACCACTCTCTATATTTTATTTTGAGACAGGATCTTCTAGCCTGATTTTTTTGGTGTAGTCACAGGGTTGTACAACCATCAAAATCAAGTTTAGAATGTTTTCATCACCCCAGAAGAAGACCACATATCCCTTAATAGTCAGTCCCCATTTCCTTCCTCTAACCCCTGACAACCCTTAGAGTGGGTTCTGCCCCTAGGGCTCTGCCTGCTCTGGACAGTTTCCATGGCCAGGACATACAGTGTGAGCCTCAGAGCCTGGTTTCTTTTCTTTCTTTCTTTCTTTCTTTCTTTCTTTCTTTCTTTCTTTCTTTCTTTCTTTCTTTCTCTCTCTCTCTCTCTCTCTCTCTTTCTTTCTTTCTTTCTTTCTTTCTTTCTTTCTCTTTCTTTCTTTCTTTCTTTCTTTCTTT